CATGCGGTGATGGTTTCCCCGGATAGGATGTGACTGGGTTCTGGAGCTTGTTGGACGCGGAGGTGAACTGCTCCTGGGGCGGGAGGGCTTGTGTGAGTTTTGTGGCTCGTCATTGTGCTCGTCTTCTTTGCTTAGAGACTGCCTTCGGCTGCTCTCTTCAACAGCATGTTCACTTGGAGTCATTGAACCAACCCTCATATCGATATGAGGGCCCGGGGAGCTCGGGGCAGACACTGCACGGTTGAGCTCAGGGTGAGCAACATTGCGACGAGGGCTGCCGCTACCTGCCCAAACAGACGTGGGGGAAGATTGGGATTTGGATACCCGTCTGCGACGTTTGTCCATATCATCCAGCACAATGTCAATCAGGATGTCTGCAGGGTCTTCGATACCGGCACGTCTGAGCGTTAACGAGCGCAGCTGATCGGCAAGACGGTCCCAACCAAAGAACTGTCGGAAGTCAATACTGCTGACTTCGAGAGCCTGCAAGTTCTTGAAAACATAGAGGGGAACGGCCGAATCGAAGGGAAACTCCTCATATCCGCGAATCAAACGAGCGCGCCAATCAGGTGCCAATTTCAAGCAAGGGATTTTGGTGAAAGCGGAATAGAGGTACTTCATGTCGGCTTCAAGAGCAGCCTTTTGACGCTCTGTTCTAGCGGCGGAGATGCTAGCACCGATACCAAAGCTCGACCACAGTGCAGACATGCCCGACATGACACTTCGCATGCTTGAGACAGAGTGTATCGAGTCGATATCTGAGCCTTTGCTCCTGGATCGTTGGGTGTTGCTGAGGAACGAAACATAGTTGGCTGATGATGAACTGTCATGTAGGTTCTCGAGGCGGACCTTCATAGGACCAACGTTGATACTGAGTTCTTCGAAACGAGAGAGAAGGTAGAACAGGTGATGGGGTGTAAGTGCCAGCTTTGCAGATTTGACATTATGCGATGTGAAACTGAGGGATCCGAGCGACAAGGCGGCTGCGAGCGAACTGGATGTAGAGGCTGAGGTAGAGGGTCGTTCGGGTAGCGAAGTCGAGGTTTGAGATAGCAACACCGCTGAGCCGGTACTTTGAGATGGCTTATGTCGAACCTGGCGGCGCAATTGGAGAGCATTGGCTAAAGCCTTTTCGTGCGTTCGTACGAAACCGGCAAGTTGCTGAGAACAGAAATGTCAGTTGCCTTGATTAGTGCACGGGAACAAGATATGGCATACCTTTATGAACAGTTCTCCGTCTTCTGAATCCATGATTTATCGGCTTCTGCACATAGAAGTGGGATCGTCCCGGGAAAGGTATAAATGTATGGTTCGAGATTTGAGGATATATAAACAACGTTTTCGAGGGCGGAGTTGCCTACGATATTAAGGATCGAGGGACTGTAGTGTCGACCTATTTCACAGCCAAGTCAGTGGCATGTCACACTTGAAAACTCAACAAGTACAAATTGCAAAGCGGTTGAAATTTGAGTGACTAGCACAGTCTCTTTGATTCCAGGCTTTTTGGCACGCAAGAGATAAATGCTAGCGAGGAGCAAAATGCACGAGTGTATTGAGTGCGTGCAACCAAATGCAATGGCTTTCTGTTGCTGTGGCACATCCGTGCTCTTTCTTCACTTGTCGTTGATAGTTTGTTCAGGTATAAATGCATGATGGATCGCGATCGTATACCCGTGGTCACACGCATTTGGGGAGATGGCTGATAGCAGCAGTCACGCAAGAGAGACAGAAAGCAGCCATAAGAAGAATCACAATCAACTTGGCTGTACCTTCAAACACAAAATCTTTCTGTCGCCGGGTTGCAGCAGAGCACTGGAAAAAAGTGCACAAGGACGCAAGGTTGCAGAAGGGAAAGGGCGACAGGGTGGACGAGTATAACGAACGGACTTAAGTTTGTAGGTTGGTTGGTAGCCGAAAGAGTTGTGAAGCAGAGCAGGCAGCCGAGGAAAAGCCACTCGCTTTCACCACAGTCACCTTCCCCTTTACCATGAAAGAACAACAGCGATAATGGACAGGTTCGCAGAAAGCCCGGGCAATGTCAAAAGGCAAGTGCTAATTCAACGGGAATGCGACGAGAGGAGAAAGAATAGGAAATTGCAGAGAAACATCGTGAACTGACCTGTGATGGTGTAGAGGGGAAACAGCCGCAAGCACAGCAGCAGCTCTCGCAGTCAAATCCGTCCGACCAAATCCAAAAAGTAACCGATTATGAAGACTCGAAAATTCCGATTGTGAGCCCAAAAAAAAATCCTTTGTAGCTTCGAGGAACCGTCGAGATGATCGAGGTTGAAGGACGAGAACGACGACGACGACGTCGGAGAGGATTGTAGGAGGAGGACAAGAGCGGACGCAAACGTAGAGAAAGGGTCCCAAATTGGGGCCTAGGTAGACTAAGTACCTCCTTGTAAGTCTAAAAGTGGGTGCCGTGCATGGAAGAGCAAGAGACCCGTTCAGATGGACGATAACTAACTTTCCTAGCCAGGGGGGTGTTGGTTTAACTTGACGCCCGGCTGGGACAGGATCAGATGGGAGAAATGGGAATCTTTTCTTCGCCCACTGATTTACGCTGCTAATTCGACGGGGCCGGGGTTTCCTCAATTCCCATCGCAGCGGGCTCATCATTCTCTGTAGCGGAGCGGACAGGACAGGACGGACAGCCAGCGGGCACGCGCAGGCCTCTCACTGGAACCTCTCACACCTCACCTCGCACACTTTCCTGGCCTCGAGGACACCCTCTCGACTTTTTTCTGTCCACTAAACACCACACCCCGGCAGGCTGGCTGGTTCATCAGCAGTCGCACGGGCGGCTGATTGGACCTGGGGTGGTCTCCTTTGGGGGCACGCACCCGTCGTGCAAAGTACCAGTGACCAGCATGGTGGAGTTACTCATGAGATGCTCCGCTCTCTCTCTCGTTGATGTGTGGACCCCTTGGATCTTGAAGTCTACCTCTTGCAAACAATCCCGGTCCAGCCAGGGTATTCAGAAGAATCATCTTCTGAACTGTTCTCTACATACAGAGCTTGGCACTTCAGTCTCTTGCAGCAGAGACGTATTCGTCGCAAATTGAGTCGTGTCGCTCTCTCGCTTGATGTCATTGTACGCCCACTGTCGTCTGTTGGAGCCCGACATCATTCACTTTTGTGCTCCTGTTCCAGTCGCAATCTATGATACAAGCACTATTCGAAATGCTGATAATAACTATAGTTACAATTAACAACGATAACGACATCGACCACATAATGGCCCTGGCTCTTCAACCCTGCGCCTACTTAGCTTTGCTCGCATCAACCTTCATCTACCAGCCAGCCCATCCGTCAATGCTTCTCGCTCAACCAATCCGTCCCCTGTACCACCACATTTCAACTCTGCCGTTTTGACTCATGGATTTTCCGTCATATCTCACTTCAACTCCGCATTTCTGCCTCTCTCTGTGTTTTTCATCTTGTCCTTCAAGTCGGTAAGAGCAGAGTCCAATATATGTTGACATGGCCCACATGAAATATGTCATCGAACGAGTTCATTGACATTCGAGTATTTGATGGTTTTCAAGACAATTCGTTGAGTATTGCCATTCATTCTCGTGACTGGGCTTGCTGGGCAATTGTGTCTTGAAAGGCTGGCTAAGACAGCGCCACAGTTCCTCTAAACTGACACAACAAACTATCTTTTTCTCTCTTTTTGGGAAAGTCTAAAGTGGTTGAAGAACACTCTTAAAGGTTTATCATTTGCAGTGAACTCGCCGCAAACTCATCATATCAGTTTGAGAAGAACAACCAAGTCGCACTACCAAGACTTCGCAGGTCTTGAGTGGGGTCGTAGCATCCATTGATGCTTGCTCGACTCGCTATGGTGGGGGTCGTCTTGGCGTTGAACCGGGGTTAAAAGAAGGCATGGTCCAGAGGGTACTAGGGGGACGGAAACTCGGACGAGTAACAGACGAGAATTCGAGTGCTGCGCTCAAGATTGGTGATAACCGTCCCGCTGAAATCACCATTTTAGAGATAGATGCAAGCCGCTTATTTCCTCTAGGGGTTCTAAGAACGCTGTAGCGTCGGGAATTCAGTCCTCGACGGGTTCTTAATGCTGGACCTTCATTTCCTGTTACCCGCCAGGAACAGTCCAGGCTCAACGATTTGCGACGTAAACAAACATAACAGCGACGATAATACCACGATAGACGGGGATGCTGGCCAGTACGATCGAACTGAAGATCCAGTGCGTGCGCGCGCCTCAGCCATCGTCAAAGCTCAATGTTCCAGGTCACTGATCAATGTCTCACAGACCAAGATCGTGAGCACTGACAACAGCATATTATCAACACAGTCATGCCCTGCTGTTGTTGTTATTGTTTACTTGCTTCCCGAAACTGCTGTTCCCAAGCACTGGTAAAGTTCTTACTGGCACCGTGAATTATCCCGGCTTATTAGGAGAAAAGAATTGACAAATGACACAAAGATTAGATTATGCATAAAAACGCTATTATGTACAATGAAATCCCTTCCCAAGTTGTCCGCTTCGCGACATGGTTACTCAACAATTGCTAGCTGAAATTGCGTGCCGGTGGACTGCCAGCAGACCAGAGTCAATGTTTTAAAAAAGGATATGCAGCCCTTGAGTGCCTTGGATCTCTTCTTGGCTCTCATCGACAGTCAATGACGGCGTCGATGTGATGCAAGACATCGTACATATATCACATCAGGAAATTTTTATCTCGGTCAGGGAGTCGCACAAACTTCCTCGTCTGCACAGCGATGCTCAAGCGATGTTCTTTCACCAAACGCCGGCATTGTTTAAATTATTATGCGATGTTGCCGACAGTGATGATTTACAATACGCAGTAGTTAACCGCTGCAAATGCACGTCGGAGTTCATAGTTAATGACTAGCAAACCGTTACACGCTGTCAACTTCAAACACCGAAATGTCCACTTTGGTCAACCAAACCACCCACACCAACTACCAAGTCTACCGCGCTCTCGATCAGCCATCCCATCCATCTGCTACATCATTTCTTGATTCAGGAGTAGCAGCAACACCATCACACGCGATTTCACAGCACCGAACCCACCTGTAACCCAACGCGTCACGGTCCAGGTGTCTGCCATGACTATCTTTCGCAAATCTAAGACATGGCCATCACGCAGTACAACTATTCGCTACCACGAGACCAACCACTACGTGCCGTTTGGTCCCTTCTATATCTTATGCTTACACCACGCGCAATCCCGTCATGAGGCTAGAGCATGTGGAAAGGACCCTTTCTCTACATCCTTAACCTCTCCTTTCTCGCTAAATGCCCCTTGTGCTTCTCTTGGTTTTTTCTCTCTTTTTTTCTTTATTCTTTCGCTATGGATCTGTCAAGACCACGATTCATCATATCCATGTACATCTCTGCTGCGCCTTTACCCTTTGTCAACGCCGCTCCAAGCGGAGCCTCTGATGTCTCTTGGCGTTATGGCAGCAGTTATGTCATATCTCCACTAAACTGGAACAAGTGCAGTCTATTATTGGAGGAGTTGGATGTCATCTTGCTTCGAGGACCCTTGTCCCAGTTCCACTCCTGGTGTTAGGTAGTGAGTACTTTGAGCCCGCATCTATCTTGATATCCCTGTCGCTTAGTGGATGCTTATCCCGCCGAACATTTCAGAATGCTCAGACTCACGATGATCTTCAAACATTCTCAGCACTTGCCAAGACAAGACCAAAGCAACTATACCATTTGTCTTCTTTTACCATACGATAAGGGAAGATCGATATTGGACTGTTTATATGGGCTTTGTTTCCTATCGTATTGGGTTGTAAGAAACCTATCATATTGACTCACCAATACCAGCCGATCGCGTTCTTTGGTAGTATATGTTTGCCCACACTCCGAAACGAGCTACCTGTTACTACTTCTTGGACAGACGCGGCACCCTACGATGTCAGAAAGTGGTACAACTTTCATCAGTGCATGGTGTTGCTACGCGAAGAGCGCAAGCTAAGACCTTGTGGGACGTGGAGGCGACATGGCTGTTCGCTAACCACAAAAACGTTGTGCCGCTTACCACAGTTGTAACGCCCTTTATCGGGAACCCGGTAGTTATTGATTCCAGCGACTTTTTTTTTTTTTTTTTTTTTAACACATAAAGGGCCGAGACGAGTCTATCAACATCTCGGGGTTCCAGCAAGATACCTTTAGGATTCTGTTCAATCTCGATACTTTGCATTCTCACGATGTGTTCTGTATGCAGGACCTCCCTCCATGAGAGGTCTAGACCGTCGTTGAGCGTCAACATCAGCCTTCCTGCCAAATCTGGCAGTGTGTCTTAGGACATAGGCTGTTTGACTTATAGCCCGCTGCACGACAATATTATTACTGCAGTCATGGTCACAGACGCGGCTCGAACAAGATGCAGCCGTCAAAATGCGGCGCAAGAATCGTGTTTGTCTTCTTTCCTTTAATAAAGAAAATCAAGATATCCAAGGGTCTATTTATACGTCAGCTTTGAAAGCTCTATGAAATTGTTTCCAGTTGTAGTCAGAAGAATAACATTCTGCAATGGCACAGTAAGGGTCCAAGGCCAAGAGGCCCCAGTTTCTGTTATCGTGCACTGGCCATCATCTGGCGTTTCACGTCCGTTTGGTGGTCCGAGTCATGCTGTCCCAACAAGATTGTTTTTTCCGATGATGGATGTTTTATTAAAGAACCGTGTTCCAGCCTCAATCTGGGGAAATAAATTAGCCCCGTGAGTCTGCCACAAATTCCTTGCATCGGATATCATACCACAGGCAATGTCGACACTTCTCCCAGAAAATACAAAATGAATTAACGGTTTACCTCATGCCGTTTCACAGGCACGTATACAGAGTGTACAGAGTATACAAGACCTTACGAATGTAGTCATGTTACAGGGCCGAATAATTCATCTCACGACTCAGTTATCAAAGGAGATCAGCGGATGAAACACGTCTGCTGTTAGAGCATGTTCATCACCTGCCTCAAATGTCGCGATATTCATATATACGCTACGCTGCCTCTATCTAGATGCTAGTGGGCAGAGGATCTGGGGTGTGTGGTAGATATCCTCGACCCAGCGAATAGCAAACGGTTGCGTCCCTCCCATGTGCCTCATCAATTAGATGGCGCTCCTTTGCCGTATAATTGGATCGGCGAGTTTGCAACCTCGACTTCTTTCGACTCTTTGCGCTACGGGCGGATATTCTAGAAATCAAGACATACAAGCCAGCCAATAGTGAGGGAGATGCTACCATGCCCAGATTGAAACATAGAGCACATGACGCACGATCTCGCATTCCTTTCGTTTGATTTGAGGCTGCGGGAACAGGAGCTCGGCCGACGACCGTGCTGGAACGGTCGATATTTCTTTCTGTTTCGCCCATGATCTTCTCACCGCTGCTTGAGCCTAACCCCTCACGGTTCCTAGCTTGACAACTTCTAAAATCGAGATACAGAAGTGACATAAAGAACGCTTTAGAACAATATCCGTTGATCATTTGTGATAATCTAAAACAGTGCCTTTAAGTATAAAAATGGAAAGTTGAGTAGACTTGGAGAAAACTATACCAGCAAATATGCCATCAGTATGAGTTCTATCATGCTGGAGATTGGTTGGTGTTGTGCTTAGTACATCATGGATCAACCGACAATGCCGTCTGAAATAAAAAGCCTGCGGCACAGGCCATTCGACGTCAAGAACCTAGTTAACCCCTCCTTCTATGGGAATGTTGCATATGAATGCCCCTCGATCTAGTGGAGAATTATCTAATCTCTTCTGGCAACATACCACATCCGCATCTCAATGGGAGGGTTGCAATATCAATGACGAAAGGGTCACCATTTTGCAGAAGAAGGGGTGCGCAATTATTTGAGGAAATCCAGCAATGAGTTACTGCGGTACAAAAGCCAAGCAGCCAAGCAGTGGATAAGTGGTTGGCTGATGACCACAGGTGCACTCAGGTTCTCGTTTAATATCGAGCCACCCCGCCGGCGCGGCTACCTGCGCACATATCATGACGGAAGGTTGGATTTTTCGGATTCTCCGTGAGTTCTTTGATGATGAAGGGTGATTGCGTGTGACCATGTTTCACCAACGCCTGGAAACACTTTGTCTGCATGGATGTGGTTCCGAAAGACAAAGAAGGAGGACATATGGGCAGGTTACATTGACTACACGCCTAGTCCTCCTGTCAAGAGTGGTTATCATTGAAGGCCATGCCGGCAGTCTAGAGCATGTATATCTGTCTATACACTATAAAATGCTCTAGCTTTGTCACACATTTGGATTCGTATAGCTTGATAGGGATGCGCCCTAGCGGTGTACCATTCACTGCGAGATTGAATGTTGGGCATTGATGGTTGAGTGACGTTTAAATGCCTTGCATGATCACTTACACTATAATATGCTTTCACTTTGATGGGATGAGATGGACCGACTGTCATGGCACGGCCCTTGTGTGGCTACTATTAGTCAAAGCTGTCGGATGCTTGGCGGCGGGCGCCAATGAACCCTTCATGAGGACAAAGCCTCAAGGCTGGAGTCTAGAATTGGGGTTGATCTTCATCCAAATGGTTCCAAGATATCGCACGCTAACCCCATCTCGGAACGAGGGTCCCCCGTCTCGCTTCTTGGTTGTTCACCGCAAGCCATCAGAGTACGCTTGGCCATATGACGTCACGCAGCTGCTGTCAAGCCCAATGTATCAGTATGTACATATCCTGCATCGGCAGTTGACTTGGGGTTATTCTTCAGGGTCTAGGACGAGGATGATGAGTCTGATTGTAACTCCAAATTTAACTCCAACTATCTGAGAGATTGGCTTGGACCCTGATGTGCAAAGGATGAAACTGCTGATCTTGAACGGTCCTTGATCAACGTTTTAGTCCATAAGAAGAAATGGGAGTTGTTGTGGCATGATTTGCGCTCCTGACTACCAAAATCGAGTGACATTTACAGCATAGTAAGAATCGTCCGTTCGAGTTGAAGAAATACGCAAGACAAGGCAGAAGAAAAAAAGAATAGTACCAGCACGCTCTATGCCCCGCCTATGCACGTCAGTGGATCTCGGGAACTTGGGAATCTGGCGCTTATTGTTCAGCCAGTCTTTGTCAAGGATAGCCTCGTTTCTTCAAAGCTGAGGCTGGCTGACCGCTCACCATAGAGACTGGACGACATTGGTTTGTAGGGGCAACTTCATATCCTCTTCCAAGTTTTGAGAGACCCATGAGGATTCTATCAACTCCACGACATCTTCTAAACTGGGTTTTAGTTTCTCAGCTCAGACCCAGAGTCCCCTCTTTCACCTCGCATGGTAATGCTGTGCATGCACCGAAGTTTCATACATGTTCCTGGTAGGCGAGTGTTTAGTCTCGTTGAAATACCCGATCTGAGGGCATTCGCATCTACGATACAAGCCCCGAGGATCGTGCCTGGCCCGTGGTTGACGTGCTCATCAACCCCTGGCGGAAGACGTTTACGGTCAAATGTCAAATGTCAACGCCAACGCCAACGCCAACGCTAAGTCTGGCTCGTGTGCCGATACTTTCAAGTTCCTTGATATACTGATTTACTTCACATGCATCTTTTAGCGGTGCCCAGCCAAGAACTCGTGTAAGTCAGCTCTCCGGTTCTCGGCCATCACAAGACCTGCGTGAATATCCCACTACCACACTTACATGGACTATTCCATGGTCCTTCGAATCGAGATGTGGATATACTTGGCTTCCTCACTGGCAGCAAAAGGTCCAACAACTGGTGCATACAATGCTTGCTTACCAGTGCATCTAGCAACCGTCTTGGGGAACCACTTAGATCTGTGAAGATTGAACGGAGTGGACAGACTCAGTCCAACGTGATGCTGAGCTTATCCATCATCGTCAGTTGCAGTGGTGTTGAGTTGAGCCATTTGTACGGCAACACCTCAAAGTGCACGAGCAACTCTGCTTGCCACAACAGCCCCATCTGAGTATAACTGACTATATGATGCTCGTGTGTCCAACTTATCAGTTGATTCCTCCACGTGGTAAGGAAGTTCCTCTCACACATGTGTTCGCAATGTATGAAAAGTTTTGCTCGTATTGTGATTTGTGACCCGATCATCAGCACTCTGCTCAACACAAGACCAGACTGTCATGCCAGCGTTACTAAACACTGTCATTTACGCTAAAATCTGGTATAAATCGTATACAATACAAGTACAAGCTAAAGCAGACCTTAGCTCTGAAACGGCAATTACATTGTGCCGTCCGTATCTTTGCTTCAGGGTAAGCAACTTAGGACTTGATTTCCACAAGCTTCTCCAACGTCTTGAACCCGTCATGAGCGTAACCTTTGGTAACATCCACCTTGTACTTCTTGCCATCGACAATGATGATGCCGAATCCCATGTCAGTCCAGGCAGACTTGACACCGTTGAACATGGCAGACACGGCTCGACCCATTCTTCGGAACGGCATTGTGAACAGGTGCTGCATATCAAACTTGTGCAATGCTTTGCGCTGCGCCTCTGTCTTTTGCTCTAGTTCGATGCGCCGCAGCCCAGGCACGTACTCTTCTGGTAGCGAAAAGCGAGATGCGAGGGTGACCTCATTCAGGGGAGCGACAATGACCTTGGGCTTAAGCATCGGGACCATTCGCTTGACCGTGAGTTCCATGTGTATGGGAGCAGGCCCTGGCGTAGCTACAGCGAGCTTGGGTGCTTGTGCAGGAAGAATACGGATTTGTCCGACAATGTTTGGTGTTTTCGTAATCATGAATGTTCCCATAGACGCGAGGAGCAGATAAGCTGTGCCAAAGACCAGCCCGATCCATTGTGGGACACCCTCAGGCTGCTGCACAGCATACGGCGCAGTAAGACCCGTCCAAGCAATCAAAGATAGTCCACTAGACCAGCAGCCGAAGTAGAACCAAAAGTGTGATGGTCCCTCATAGAGGACCGTGGGCGTTGGCTTAGAAGTCAGGCTCTTTATGAAGGCGTATCTACTAGGAGCAATCTTGGACGCAGCGGCGGCGGCGGCAACCCTTGAGACGTTTGGTGGTCGAGTAGATTTTATGGCAGGCTCAGCAGCCAGGCGGAGGGAAGTGGAAAAGAAGCGGGATCGGAGGAGCAGAGACTCGGCGCGAGGAACGAGGAGGGGCCGTAGGCCTGGGAGGCAGAAGCCCCTTGCGAGGCTCGCCATTATAGAATTGAGGCCTTTCGGAAGAAAATCTGTATATGAGCAGTAGTAGTATATGCCGAGTAAGAAGTTACCACAATTTAGAAAACGTCGCCATCCAATCGCTCAATTAACTTTCAGTGGTTCGATGTCGAAATAGCTTCAATTTTCAGGATTGCCCATGAATGTTACTAGCTTACGATAAGATAAGCGGATATAAGCCGGAGGTATGCGCGGCAATTGGTGAGCATGCATAATTCCACGATTCAACAAATTTACTAAAAACAACTGCACAAACAATATTAGACGCTGGATAACTAATTATAACGTCAAAGCACTATGTAATATCCCAGTTTTCCTCTATATTCATAAATTGTAGATTATTGCAAGTTCCTGTCGATCAAGTGGCTTTCGGGACACCAATGCCCGAGAAGTTTGAGTAGAAAATTAAGTGGGACATGAGAGATATGAGCATTAATAAAAGCATGAAGAAGAGTCTCTGCAAACACGAAAAGATGTTTCCTGAAAAAGAATAAACTCGCTTGTCTCCGTAGAGGCATCCCCTAATTAGATCAAGCATGCTACAACAAAAAGACTTTGCACCCGATTTAGGGAAAGAATTCTCTCAAAGACCCTGAGGGTTTTATGTCTTGTCGCGTTCTATTCCCGCCCGCCAAAATTTAACGTCGGGTCCCCACTAGCGCCAATGGATCTCAACAGCTTCAGTTGAAGATAACCCAGTCTTTCTCAACACCCCGAGGTCGCTCTCACCTGCACCGAAAACCCTCCCGCGCCAGCCTCCATCTCGCCATATCCACACTTAACTCAATCAAGTTGTGCAATGGCCTCTCTTTCTGCAGCTTGCAGGGCATCTGCCCGGGCCGTTACTGCTCGGTCTTCTATCGCCCGTGGTACGTCGATTTGCTGATATTGAAAATCCCCCCTCGGACCCTTTTGTCGCGCACCGACTAACACATCTTGTCTGATGTAGGCTTCACCACCTCGACACGATGCCTTGCCGCACAGAACTTCACCATGCCCGCCCTCTCACCTACCATGACCGAGGGTAACATTGCTACATGGAAGGTCAAGGAGGGAGAAACTTTTAGCGCCGGAGATGTGCTGCTCGAGATCGAGACCGACAAGGCCAGCATGGACGTCGAGGCCCAGGACGACGGTATCATGGTCAAGATAATGGCTGCTGATGGCAGCAAGGCTGTGCAGGTTGGATCACGCATTGGTGTCATTGCTGAGGCTGGCGACGATATCAACACCCTCGAGATCCCCGCCGACGAGGCTAAGGAGCAACCCAAGGAGCAGTCCAGCGCTCAGGCCCCCAAAGAGGAGACTGCTCCTTCCCAGTCGAAGTCCGTCGAAAAGACAAGCGCGAAGCCCACTGGTAACGACACCTACGAGCACAAGTATCCTCTCCTGCCCTCAGTTCAGCACCTGGTCAAGGAGAAAGGCATCAGTGAGGCTGATCTCAAGAAGATCAAGGGCACCGGTCCTCACGGCCGATTAGTCAAGGGTGACATCCTCGCTCATATTGGAAGCATCAACCCCGAGACTCCCGCTGCCAACGAGACCAACTTCAACAACATGTTCCACCTTGATCTTAGCAACATCAAGGTCGCTACGAAACCTGCTCCTCCTTCTAAGCCAAGCCCCGCCGAGGATTTCAAGGCCCCCGTGGTCGAGGATCTGGAAGTTTCTATCCCTATCACCTTGGCCAAGGTTGTCGAAGTTCAGAACCGAATTCACGAGACTCTCGGTGTCTTCCTACCCATCTCTACCTTTGTTGGCCGTGCCGCTGAGGTTGCCAACGATGACCTTCCTCCTACCAAGCGTGCCCCTACCGCCAATGAGCTGTTTGACCAGGTCCTTGGCCTCGACAAGGTCAAGGCCTCCAAGGTTTCTCGCGGTGTCTACCTGCCCCAGATCTCCACTATCCCTCCCCCCTCTATGCTTTCTCCCCGATCTAGCCCTAAGCAGGACGACATTATCGACTTCCTTTCTGCACCCAGCAAGAAGTCTGCTCCCAAGCCCGCCTCTGTTCACGCCGTCCCCGGCTTGTCCAGCGGCGCCAATGTGTTCACTCTGACGGTCCCCAAGGTCGAGGAGGAGAGGGCACTGGTCTTCCTTGCACGCTGCAAGGCCATCCTTGAGGAGGAGCCTGGACGACTGGTGCTGTGAGCTTATGAAGAAAAATATCCCTGTAATATATCGTTTTTTTGCTATAGACAATGGCTAGTAATTGCGCTTGGACGCACCTGTGGTATGATATATCTACGCCTTTCAACGGTGTTTTGCCAGATAGCTAGAACTACAAACCCAATTATGAATCAAGTTTTGATGCCGGAAAGATGCTATTCGATCCTCCCCTTCTTGATCTTGCCTAAAACTTGAATGCCAGTAGAGAAATTCCTGTATCCGAAAAATAAATCCGAACTTCATATCATTGTTGCTTCACTTAGGAAGAAACGTCTCTTCATCTATCAAAAGCCACATCTAATCCACAGTTGCGGCCGAAGACTCAGGGGCAAACCGACGGAATTGGCAAAAGACATCGAGGAGAAGGTCGATCTGGGCTCTACGTTGATAGACACCTGGTGAGTCTACAAATATTGTTTCTGTCAAAAATCACCACTCTGGAAGTCACTGTTACTTCGGTCAAGTCCGAAGCCAAACAAACCCCCCATCGCCAGCACGCCTGCAAAGCTTTCCCACACTCGATATCTCTCCTTCCATATACAGAGACGTGCAGCTCTGCATTACAGAAGCCGATTGATCACTACTTTAGTCCAGTTCTCCCAAATCGTTCCAGATTCTGGAATGAATATTGGCCCTAGCGATCTTTTCGATACCTTGCGGCTTGGCAGTCTAAAGTTATTTTTCCACTTGGACAGCAGTAAACCGATCGACAGCCAGCTGAAAGCAGAGCCCGATCATTAATGATTAGCCATACTGCATTGTAGTCTTGAACAGGAAATCCCCAGAGCCGAGCCGCAAGCTAAGCGCTATCACGAATAGATCACCATGTATGTATCAGTTGTGATGGCAGTGAGTGAGTATGAGCGAGTTCTCCCACACCGGCCCGGCATCAATTTAGTCGAGATCAGTCTTCCATTTCATCTATGCAAGAGGAGGGAATAGTCTCATATTGTTTAGTCAACCACCTTGCATACAAAAATCTTAACATCGAGTTAGTAATCTTATCCGCATTACGCGCGTAAAACCGGGGTTAGGGAGGATTGATTGTCCAACGTACCTAGATTGTGGCGTGAAAATGTCTCGGAAAGCACCAATGAACCCAAGGACCCGGTAGAAGCCAATCCATGGATGCCTTGGCAATGTATCGAGGCGTACAGAGGACTTACCTAGGAGGCCTATCCAGATATTAGAAGGTGGTATAGAAAGACTTGCTTCCGAAATCATTGCCTAGAAAGGTCTAGGTAGGGGTGAAAAAGAAAACATCCATCCCATGTTTAGGTAGGTAAGGTAGACTAATCCACTTGCCAGTCGACATCGGTTGCTCTGTTGAGTTTGGTCATCCTTCTAATCGTAGAACCCTGAACTAAGACATGCGTTAGGGAGAGGAAGGGGAAAAGAGAGAAACCGACAAGGGGTGGGTGTTGTATTGTCAGCCATGGAATGTTTACAGATGAGGAGATATTGTCACTCACGATATCCGGACTGGAGTAAACCGATCACTAAGGAAATAAAGCCATGTAAGTCTCACGGGAAGGAGGTAGCACAAAACTAGGTAAATTTCACTCGCAGTCGAGCTCTGTCATGTGGGAGGAACAGTGCCGTGGACGAAACGGTCAACTTCCATCGTTATTTCCTCCTTGCGCCTGCATACTAGGTAGGTTAACTAGTACCTTCCTTCCTTCCTTCCTTATCAAGTCACGGGCAGGTACATCGTCTCAGTCCCTGTCTTCATCACCCGCGAGGCAACAAGAAAACCTTCATCAATCACACACAGCCGTCAATCGGCATTTGTCACAGTTTTCACGAACCAACAGAAACATAATACGGATCAACAGCAATCAAGATCTCGCTAAGATCTTCACACTCCCTAATATAGGATCACTTAAGCAATGGAAACATGGACCCCCCTCCCCCAGTCAAGTGTTCAAATTATTGCATGACCAAGTCTAGAAGAGTCACTGTGGGGAGAGCGGGCTTTGAGCTCAGGCTCATGGTCATCGAGACAAGATCCACGTCAATCCAAGAGTCCTCTTCGACAACTTGTTTGTTTCCTACGGTCTCAGGTCTGCCCCTCACATTAGCAATACACGGCCGCATGCCCCCCTTCGAACCCAGAGATACCAGGATCATCGCCGGCAGAAAGGAACTTGTGTCCATCCAAAGTTGCTCTATTGTGTTCTTGGCCTAAGCAACTACCTATGCATCTTCCTACGCCGCATATATCCCTTCCAGTCTCTCAAGTTAGCTATTACTGGTTTCATCTGGTCACATAGCAGTTGTCAGCCAGACCCGTACAGTCGGGACGGCTTCTATTTGGATGTTCTGAGCCACCGCGGCTCGTCTTGATTCGAAATGGATAGACGAAGCCCGTCTACCGTGTAGTCTACTTGATGCACTTCGACACCCTGTTGCATTAGACTTGGTTCTAAAATCTGTTGCCTCGCCCACTCTCAAGGTACAGGCCTACATCGAGAGGTCGATACCTTATATAAGACCAAAGACCAACCAGACCCTCCACCAAGCGCTTTTGGACACACGCACACTTCACCTCAATGCTTTAACAGGTTGTAGGTATTACAGTCAGGTTTTGATTCGGTCACAAAACATCATATTTGTCCACAACAGGCGATCATTTACACTTCTATACCGCCACAAGGCTCTGACGAGTTCAGCACCGAGAAATCGGCTGCCTTCCCGTATTCTATCTTCCCCTGGCTCTTTTGAGTTGAAAATGCCCAACATCAAAGTCGCCTCGGAAAAGCGGAAAAGGGTACTAAAAGTCTGCAACACATGTAAGACACGTAAGCAAAAGGTAAGTCGATGGAAACATCTTTCAATCTCTCAGGGTTTGGTCGTCAGACTCGCCTCGGCTGTCGCCGTCAAGCCCCTGATTTTTTTTCTTATCACCGTATCCCTTACAATATTGTTGCAGTATGCCACATTTCGTCTGTTCCAAGATGGGATTGGTAACTGCTCTTCCTTGTCAACACAAAAAGCCCTCTAGTATCAAACGCCAATATGTCCAAGTCCAAGCAAAGCTTCAGCTGGCGTATATGATTAGCACGTACTCATGTGAGCTGGAGATTCACTAGTTGCTAACATGATCAAATTGCAGTGCGATGGCCTAATAAATTGCAAGAATTGCCGCAAGCGAGGGTTTCAATGCGTGTATCGGCCGAGTAAGTCCACCGACTCGTCAAGCGACTCAACTGCGTCTTGCTCGTCTTCAAGGCACGATTTGGGCGAGCAATCACCAGAAGCTGCCGAACACTGTGATACACCAGGCACAAGCGGGAAAACAGCCGGCCAATATACTGTAAGAGAATCAGCAAGTCCAGGGAAACTGGACGGTTTCCGCATTGTTTCTACATTAAGATCCGAAGAAATTGGAAAATACACGCCCCCTCGTACAGAGTATTGCCAGCAGCGATATCAAACCCTTGTTACATTGCATCTTCCGTTACTTGAACTTCCAGACTTTTCTGATTGCTATTCCACCGAATCTTTCGTGGCCCTTGTCAAGCAATATCTGAAGCTAGGCTCTGGATCTTCAAAATTTACAGAGTCGTCGTGCATCTGGTTTGGGCCACAGCAAACTAGCCCTGCTAGCCCCAACTCAACATGGCCGCCTGATTTGCCTCATATCGATATTTCGAGGTTGTTAGTGGACAACTATTTCGCTAATGTGAGTTGCCAATCACTCTATTCTACACGTACAAGTATATTGACCAGGCTAAGACGCTTGGCCTCATCAATGTTGTAAGCCTCGACTCCGTCCAAGCTATCCAAGCCACACTGCATCAACCCTACAATGGACCAAGCCAGGTGTGCATCTCAGATCTGTGCATTATCTATCTGGTACTAGCAATCGGGCTTGCGTTCGAGTCTGGTCCGACAGAAAGAGATGTGCAGGACCCCAATCTCAAAAAACAGTTTTTCGACACCAATCTGAAAGAACAGTTTTTCGTAAGCGCTGAAGCATTGCTTCCGCCATTGAAAACATACAGAAGAACAGAGAGCTGCAGTAGTGTCCCATGGGTCCTCCAGGCTCTCGTTTTGATGTCGTTTTACATGCTGTGTGTATGCAGGCGGCATGATGCACACTCTTACTGTGGTAAGCCCCATATATTGTTTGCCTGTAAAGAAGTGAGGCTTATTACTAGCAGTTCAAGCTTTCGAAATTGCTCACTCGTTCGGGATTCATCGAGGGAAAGAGACCGAAGTCGAGAGCTGGTCTGATGCCGAAAAGAGATCGAGACGAAATGTCTGGAGAAGCCTCTTCGTTCTCGACAGATTACTCGCTGCCACATTAGGCAAGCCACTGGCTATTAACCAATATACTGATGAGTCTCTTAAACTACAGGAGGGGACCATTCTCAACTCTGCAGTCGATGCATGCCGGATTATCGGTGAAACCGTCAAGGTTGTATATTCCAAACCCATGACGATGAAAACCGTGAAAGTTCTGATAGGATACCTGGACTCTGTTGCAGACGTCAAAGTCGACCTCCCGGCCCTTTCTGTGGAACAAGTTCGCGTCGACTCGTTCCGCATCTATGCTGACATTCTTCTTTGCCGGCCATTTTTTCTTCTCCGCCTCATCGCTTCTAGGGAAGAACGCCGGGCTTTGGATAATATCGAGCCACAAATTAACGAGCTATCCCAGAGATGCGTATCCGTATCAATCCAAGCAATAAACATGTTCAAAAAAGGCACGCGTTCCACTCCGCCTCTTCCTGTCGATCCATTTGTTCCGTAAGTAGCATTATTTACTGTTCCTAGCTATCTACTGAACAATCCTAGGTGCGTTTTGATCGAAGCGACATATGTACTACTTTGTAGTATGTATGCAGGCATACATTTGACAGAAGAACATTTGTCACTGGTAAAAGGCGCAATAGCCATGTTGGAGACAGTAAAAAAAACGAACTCTTGTGCGGAGCATTCCACTTCGGTGCTAAATTTGTTCCTACATGATGTCAATCGTCAGAATCGTGCAACGATCGTCAAGCCGGAGCTCAAGGGACATGCATATGAATCCAGCCAATACCGCTCTCCTTTCTATCCGCCAACACAGAGCGGTTTGGTACCGCCTTACGACAGTCGTCGAAGACCAGCAGCTGATGATCGTAATGCTATCAAACAAGAAAGCCATGATCATCCAAACGCTTCCGCTTCTATATCTTTGTCTCCACACATGGGCAGCACGTTTCACCACCAACCTTCAGTCGAAACCCCTCAGCATTCGTGGCACAATGAACACAGTGGTGATATGGATCTCGACGGCTCACAATGTGAGCGATTTAAATAGGCGGAGAGTGTCAAGATGGTGCTGGCTCTCTCGAGGGGCGTTGTCACAAACTTCTACGGTTCTTAATTTGTATTTTCTTGCATCATATATCACAGCATTATTGGAGAACATACTAATGTCAGGATGGGTTATACCTATAAACAGCTATGCACTTGTTCCAACCATGTTTGAGGAGTGCATGGACTCTCCCTCACGAGGTTACACCTCAGGTTTTAGCCACTGACTCGCATTTTGCGTTGGAAATGGCTTGAATTTACTGCATCTAGGGAATTCACTCCAGGATGTAGATGATCCATCCTAGTCCTGGCCTTGGCCACAAACAACCGCAATTGAGCAGTGGACGGTGATGTTGCCAACGGGGCGTATTCGAATTGAGAAGACTAACACGAGAACATGGTAATGTTTTCTAGACCAAAGTGGCTACTATTACAATAGTTTGATAGAACAAGACTACTCTCACACTGAGCTCAACTGAATCATTACTGCATCCATAGGTCTGTCCACTTAACTACTCACTAAACTCGTTTCTCAATCCTTGACTTTGAAGGGCTGTATGAATGACAGATACTAGCCCAACAGATGCTGCTGTATCTTTACTTTCGCTGGGTTGGCACATGGGCGTGAATTGAATGTATAACGAGACAATTGATCATTTAATTACATGCACCAACCAGGTTAGGTACATGCTGCATGAGACCCTCGCGATATGTCACATTCTCTTCGGTAGATGAGTTTTTGCTCAATCGCTAATATGGACCAGGAAGGTTATGCTTGCGTGGTCAGACATACATGTTTGTTCGATCCTAGTCATCTCTCCAAGGATCATGAAATGCAACGAAATGTCGCGAGAGCTGGCCTTGGTTCCAGGTACGTGGGATTTATCCCTTGTACAAGCCACGGGCCGCGAGGTATGTAAGATGGCGGGCGGCAGCTACCACAACGGGTCAAAAAGCAACGTCATGAGTTACAGACTTAGGGCAGTCTTGAGGTCTGAATGGACAACGTAGTGTTTATTACTACATCTTTTCTCCTGCTCTTGTTGAGGGCGGTCTCAATGTTGCGGGCGGCGGGTTTATTGTCCAGCTGCACGATAGACGCCACATGAAACCCGACTGGCTCTTACATAAGTTCAGCTATTTAGAAGCAAACATGTCTCTGAATAAAAACTAGTTTTCGACGTCTATCTACAGATGCACAAGCCACCAACAAACATAAACAAAACATGTAGTTATTCTAGATAAGTAGTCTACGAGACACACAATAACCCCCCCCCTTGGGTGTGCACCCCTAAGCACCCCACCATCACCAGCTCTTGGGCCCGAACCGCGCTCCCTCGACTACATGTGCCTGTATCGCGGTACCTTGGACATCCATGGTCGATGAGACGATGTCGTTTCCCCACCAGCTTGGCGGGTCGATACCATGCAGCGTGAACGCAAAGAAGATGAACAAAGTCGCAAGGGCTAGCCCAAGATCGAGTGCAGACGATGTAAGGAAGTTAAGTCTCGACCACCATCTGAAATGGCGTTTCTTGATCCAAAATTGAAAGACGAAACCCACTGCCCCCCAAGAAAGATAATTGAGGGGTGTCGCAGGCGGCATAGCCCCTGCACCTCCAAAGATGAGAGGTGCCATGAGGAAACGCACTGGAGACTTGGGCCTGCGTTTGGCCAGGAAGTAGATAACTATGGGAGTTATGGCACCAATGACGAAAAAGACAAAGAGCCCAGAGTATACTTGGCCAGGCGAGAACATGCGGGCAGGTCCGAGGAGACCCCATATTATGGAGGCTGCGACTCATGTATTAGATCAGAAACATTTTAGACTCGGCATTAAACTTACCAGCGAAGAAGACGCGACCTCCGGGACACGTAAAGTGATCTACCTGGTGTTGCTCACAGACATCGGGGATATTATTCAAAGACAGGTTCAGAACAACGATCTGAATAAAGCACGAGAATGTTGTGGCGACAACTTGAGACAGGAACATGGTTCGAGGAGGGATCTTCATGTAATGTCCAAACTTCAAATCCGAGACAAATCGAAGAGACTGTGCCCTAGACAGAGGGGTGTGGATGTCAGTCCAGAAGTCTTGGAGGTCTTGGAGACTTCAAGGGAGCACTCAATACTTACATTGTGATGTATCCATATGTTTTAAAACTAGGCATTCAGGATCAGCATACAGGAGTGTGGATCGAAGACAGATAAGCACCCACATCATCAGGGCCAGTGGTCGACCTGGTTGGAGGTATCCATAGATGAATTCTGTTAAGACGTTCAAGCCAATTTGAGTATTCGTCACAGCCTGAATGATGCCTATGGGAAGAGCGAATCCAAATGAGATTGCGATGGCAAGCAGAAAAGCCCACCAGGAAAGATTGGTAGGGTAGCCAAGCACTGTGTAGAAACCAATCAGGAGCATCTGAGTTTCTATCATTAGTCAATTGTTACAAAGAGAATTAGGAGTGGAAACTCACAATTGCAAAGAGTGACATGTACCACCAAGTAGGCGCTTCTTTGTACTTTCTCATAAGTTTCATGTGTACATCAGGCTTTTCATTTGTGCTGTTTCTCCATTGTTGCCAGATCTGTTTGCCGTTATGCAGATAAGTGTACACAACGAGTGAAGATATAGCAGCAAAGGACAGACCATAAGAAATTGCAAAGGTTGTACTTTATTTGTCAGTTTAGGTCGGTAGTATACGGAAGGTTTATCATACCTGATGAAAAGGGGCGAGTAGTTTTTGTATTCTTCTTCGTTTAGTGTGAAGTCCTTTGTGAGAATCCGCGTGGTGTTGTAGCGAGCTCCGGTATTGTCATATGTACCAGAGTCGCTCATTGGCAAATACTCGCCATACCATGCTCCTCCGTAGTGAAGGAAAGACGATCCAATAACAAAGAAGACAACAACACCAATGAGAGTATTGGCGATGGCATGCCTGCTCCTCGTCAATATAATTCTACAGTCCAGTGATCGAGTTACCATTATACATACCACGGCGGAATGAGCGGTGAGCCAACGTATCCTGCAATCTGTGTCCAGTCAAAAGTGATAGGAAGAAGAGATAGACCTGTCTGGCCTCCAAATAGCTGGTTCACAATGGGATTTTGAGGGGCCATCCAAGTAGCTACGGCAAAGATACTTAGGAACTGGGCCAGGAAACCCGGGATGAAGTAGTAGAAAAAGGAACATGCAGTCACAACTGCGAACCATTTGTACCGGTGCATTGCTCCTCCTATAACACTAGGATCTGGGGCATCGTTTCTCTCGTACATGGCATTCATAAGAGTAACACCAGCAAGATTTTCGGGCCAGATCATGGATGCAGGATACACTTGGATTGTAAGCAAAGTAATTAGAGCCAGGGATGACAACAACTTACCCAAGAATTTCCGTAGCATTCCTGCGATTCCATAACCTACTGATTGAGTTGAGATAGTCAACAGAAGTTGGAACGCGATGCCAAAGTCCTGCTTGTAGAAAATGACTTGTGCTAGAATGATATCAGTGGCATATGCCACTGAGAACGAGACACTGGCCATGACGACGATGATAGCGTGTTCCTTCACGTTAAACGGCCCAGGGTTGAGAGTCCATGTTATACCAAAAGTGGTAAACTCCCGTTCTGGCACAAACTTGGCCCAGCCATGACCCATCGGCCACGCAACGATTTGAGCGATAAGAGGGCCAATGCTAATAGACGGTTGACGTAGTGAGAACAGAGTGTTCATCGAAGCACCCACAACAACGAGTAGCATTCCTATAGTCCATGCTCGTACAGTATTGCACGGGAGATCTTCATCAAAGTTGCGCACCGCAGCCCGAACTTCAGGATATGGTGAGTTTTCTTCTTCCTCATTCTGGTCTTGGTCATCATCCTTGATCAAAGCCGTCTCATCACCAGACTCTTGTGAGTTCTTTCGTCTCGTCTCATACTCCCGGGGGAGGTTTGGGTCCATGAGAAGTTCGTATTCTTCACCCTGATCATCTTCGTCATCGTTGCGTGCTCCAGTGCCTGCCCACTCATGCAGACGATGCTTGAGATTTTCGGGGGGCGGATCTTCAATCTCTAATGATGTTGAGAGCCGTCCACTGGGACCTGATATGCTTTGGCCGATATGTTCGACTGGTAATGCCGACCCCAGCTTCCGATTTTCAGACATTGTAAGCTTGGTTTGCCCTTTTTAGATGTTGTTGGTTGCAGTCCCCGAGGATGACTCGGTCTCAACAAATTGTGGTTGCTCTCTTTTCCGTTTTCGAATGTAAATTTCGTTGATTTCAGCAGTATCCAGGATCCGGGAGATTGTATATCGTTTGGTATGGTAACATATGTCTGAGCTGGGCGTACCGTCACCTGGACAGAATAACAACTGCTGCCGAGACTGATACAAAGTTTGGCACAACTAACCGGTTCCCTTCGTAGCCAAAATGACTTTTCACGTCTTTTGAGGCTATGAGGATAGTATATGATTGGGAAAAGATATTGTATTGGCGTTATGCGAGAGACGTTTCGTGTCGTGTCCTTTGTTGTTTTGTGGCGTCTATTCAAGCCTGGAATTGATCAAGTCACTTTAAATGAATGACAGGTATAGAATTTATATGATGTTGATTCATTTAATGACAACAACTGATCATGGAAATGATTCAAATATTGACAAAGGATTGAGAGTTTACTGAGAATGTCATTGAAGGCTTATCGTGAGAATATATCGAGGGAGGTACCAAACCGTACCTGCCCCTTGTATCGTGTCCGTCTCACAATCTAACTACCTAGCGCTAACCCAAAAGTGGAGATTCTATTCTTAAACTTTACATTACATCTTCTCTATCATTTTATACTATTATATCGATACTTGATTCTCAACATCGACCAACTAAATTAATCTCCTTCTTTTCTCCTCGGTATGGAATCATAATGCGACGGGTAGTAGTGACTGGCCTCGGAGCCATCACGCCCTTGGGTGTAGGCGTGAAACGAACCTGGACCCGTCTTCTTAATGGCGAATGCGGAATCGTCAGTGTTGCAGATCTAGAGCCTCAAGCGCGTTGGAAAGAGTTGACAAGCACAATTTCTGGGTTAGTGCCTAGCGGCGAAGGGGAAGGTCGATGGAGGGCATCAGACTGGCTCAGCGCAAATGAGCAAAGACGAATGTCCAAGTTTACACAATACGCCATTGCTGCCGGCGATATGGCTCTCGAAGACGCGGGATGGGAGCCAAAGAGCGAAGAGCAACTGGAGGCTACTGGAGTCTGCCTAGGGAGTGGCATTGGGAATCTGGATGAGATTTATGACACCAGCTTAGTGCACCATAAAGATGTAAGATTTCGTGTCAACCAATCCTGAACCAGTGCTGAACATGTGTCAGGGCTACAAAAAGGTATCGCCGCTATTTGTACCCAAGATTTTGATCAACATGGCGGCTGGTCACATAGCCATGAAATACGGTTTCCAAGGCCCCAACCATGCAGCAACTACAGCTTGCACAACTGGTGCACACTCAATTGGAGATGCATCGCGGTTCATCAGCATGGGAGACGCCGATATCATGGTTGCAGGAGGCTCGGAATCGTGTATTCATCCCTTGACATTTGCTGGCTTCGGCAGGGCAAGATCTCTATCAACGGCATACAACGACAATCCTACAGCGGGCTGCCGCCCATTTGATGCCGGCCGCAACGGTTTTGTGGTTTCTGAAGGTGCTGCTGTGCTGGTCCTTGAAGAGTTGGAACACGCCAAAGCACGAGGAGCGCGCATCTATGCTGAAATTAAAGGATATGGTTGCAGCGGTGACGCCTACCATATGACTGCGCCGCGAGAAGATGGCCGCGGCGCATTTCTTGCTATGAAAAAAGCCTTGAAGAATGCTGGAGTCAAACCCTCACAGGTTGATTATGTCAACGCACACGCAACAGCGACAAACGTTGGGGATGTGGCAGAGACATCGGCTATTAAACGGCTCATGCTAGGCGAGGAGGGACATGAAAAAGAATCGAACATTACAGTCAGCAGTACCAAGGGTGCAGTTGGACATTTGTTAGGTGCTGCTGGAGCCATTGAGGCTTTGTTCTCAGTCCTGGCCATTCACCAGGTATGTTGCGTTTGTGTTTGATCATATGTATCTAATACTAACAATTTCCAGGGAGTTGTGCCTGCAACATTGAATCTACAGAAGCCAGACGTCGGTGCTGCTTTTAACTTTGTACCGAATGCGGCACAGGAAAGAGACGTTGGTGTGGCTGTATCAAACAGCTTTGGATTCGGAGGTACGAATAGCTCATTAGTATTCTCTAAATACTGATGAATAAATATTCAACTGTAAATTAGAACTATCACTCTTTCAAGGTATCGCATTGTGCACAGTGCCCTTCACACTAAGGGTCTTCTCCACTGCCGACATATACCCGCCAACCTATCAGAAGTCAAACAATTTCTATACTATCAAAAAGATCAGTTCGTCATGACCTGGTGCATGACGTGAAGACTTACAACAGCTTCCCTTTGTGCCGTTTCTCAGGCTCCTCTCAAGCCATTTTCCCTTCCGAAACGAAACCCCCGAATAAACAAATCCAAAAAATGGCCTGCGAATCCTGTAGAACCCAGGCTCGGTCCGTCCTCCGGGCCGCAATGCGAGCTGGCGCATCACGAGCCTCTGCACCCACGACAAGAAACTTTTTGCCGCCCGTTGCAACTATGCTTTCCCGACGAAATTTCAGCAATTCGAGCTCAAGGAGCCTTCTTCAGGGTATCGGAAAGTCCATGGCTGAGCCGTATCGTGTCCTGGGTGCTACAGAGCAGTTATTCAAGGCTTCCTCCAAGGCAGCTGATTACCATATTACTGAGAAGGAGCGCAAGGAGGACCATGTAAAGCTTGCAGAGGATGGCGAGGAGATTGGACATTCTCTAAACTCTGAGAGTCCCTGGCATCACAGTACGTTTTAATCTCCTGACAATTTTTGACCAAAAAATATTGTTCAAGATTGCTAACCCTGTACTTGCAACAGCCTTCAAGCTTCCTCCCACCTTTAGCACCTGGTCCCATGTCACTATGCTGCACCTCTACCTAATCAACACCCGAATACGCTGCTTCGACCGCGAAGGCTTCCACAACTGGCAGCATCAGCTTACAGACCACTTCTTCTTTGAGTGCGAGAAGAAGATGCACATCGACCACCACATCACATCGAGTGCCCTGCGACAGCGATACCTCAAGGACATTTTCGTCCAGTGGCGCGGTCTTCTCTTGGCGTACGACGAGGGTCTCATCAAGGGCGATGCGATGTTGGCGAGCGCTATCTGGCGAAACCTGTTCAAGGGTTCACCTGACGCTGATCCTAGAGCTCTGCTTGCCATTGTGGGCTGGATGCGATCGACACTCCTTCAGTTTGAGGCTGTATCGGACAACAACCTTCCTGCGCAATTACCGGCCATCATGGCGAAGCCGGTCGATGTGTTCTGGACGAGATTGGAGAAGCAGCTGGGTGGACAACAGGAAGACAGCATTCCTGCTTCAGAGCCTGTAAAGGAGGCCGAGGCGGCTGTATCAGCAGGAGCAGCCAAGGTGTCAACCAACTAAATTATGAGTGGGATGATGTGTATTATCAGCTGTATGTATATGTCACATGAACAAAAAAAAAAAGAATAGACCAGGTCGGGCTGTATGATTAGGGCATTGGGATGAAGGTTGGGCTGGACGGATGTATTTATGAATAATTTCAATGATGATATCCTGCCTCATGGAACAAAACCACCAGGTCTATCTGTTCATCTAGTCATGCTTCTCCCACATTTGGAAATCATATTGTGTCCCTGCCTCTTCTTGACCACCTTCTTCAACCTCCTCGCCCGTCCACTCTTCCAACTCCTCTCTCGACTTTCTCTCCCACTTGCCACTCTTCAGATCCACAGGGAAGAAAGTATCGCAAACAAAATCCCGTTCAATGTTGGTGAGCAGGATACGTCGTGCCTCGGGTAGCTTGAGCGCAGCGTCGTAGATCTGCGCACCGCCCATGACAAAGATGCGGCCGATGTCGCTGCGAGCACGAGCATACTGCAGCGCGAGCTCAAGTGACCGGACCCCAACGGGCTCAGACGGTTCAACTTTCCCGGGGAGGTTTGAGGGCGCGGAGCGGCTTATGACGATGTTGAGGCGGTCTTTTAGAGGTCGGAATTTGGTGGGGATTGAGTCCCAAGTTTTGCGGCCCATTATGACTGCATTGAGAGATGATGAAGAGACCTGAGAGTTTGTCAGTATAGTTCTTTCGTATTTCCTTATTCCATTTATGTGGGATGATTGGTATGCGGTGTTTTTGAGTAAAGGGCAGTATGTGATTGCAGCAGTACCTGTGGTGGCAGTCTAGTCGTCACACGCGCAAAGTACTTCATTTCTTTGCGCAAGCCTTGCCAGGGCATTTGGCCAAGGTAGCCGATGCCCATGTCACGAGTCGCAGCGACTATGAGAGTGATTTCGAGAGGCTGCATATTTTTTTAATGTGGTGTCAGTGTACGTGAAATGTGAAAGTTGAAAGAGGTGGAGGTTTAATAAGTTGAACGAGGTTCTCCTTGAATGAATGACTGAGTGGGTTTTGATTGAGCTACTACTGACACATGAGACACAACATCAACAATAGGTCATATACAGTGCATGTTTATTATCCAACACCAACTATATTTTGGCATTCATATCAGCGCTTAAGAATAACCTCCACAGGTTGTCCAGACTGTCTATATCCTCAATTACAACTTTGAAGGAGGCAAGATCTGGACGTCCTGGAAAGGAACCCTCAAGAACCTATAAATATGGTTAAACCTATACGATTAGTTAGCAATGATCTGACCACACTTCTCAGGGAATGTTTCACCTGTCACTTCCAAAGAAAGCTTCCGACTTGCCATCCGTATTCGTCGCAATCAACCAGGGCGCTCCGAAAGCACCCTTCTTGAGCGCTAGACCAGTCACCTCCTTGACTCTGTCTTTCATACTCTCACGGCCCTTCATAATCTTGTCGATATCCTCATCAGAGAACAACTTGCTGTCACTGCCTCCATCGAGCTCATCGGTCGCTTCCTTGAGCGCTGCAATGAGATTTGCGTCTTCGGCAAGGTTGACGTGGGGAGGCAGCCAGATCTTTTGGAAAAGGAATCGCATAGCTGCGAGAAAGGTGTCCTCTGGGTAATTTTCCTTGATGTAGTGCAGAGCACGGAGAGGTGAGATGGTCTTTGCGATGGCGAGGAGGTCAGGTGGTGAGCCTTGATAGGGAGCCGAGAGGCGTTCTGCAGAGCGACGAGAGTCTTTGGCAAGATATCTCGACTTTGCAGGGAGTACCCAAGGGGGTTTGTTTCCTGGTAGACGGTAAGGTTGTTTCTCTGATTTTCGCTGGATAGAGTATACCTGATTCACTCATGATGCCGCCCAAGAAGACGGGGATGAAACTGATGATGGTTCAGTATTTAACAGCACGTCTTGAATAATTCTCAACTTACTTGACTTGGACGTCATGGGCGGCTAGTTTGCTCATACTCCGTCGTAGCTCAATGAAGCCAGTATAGCTGTAGAAAGACACTTGTGGTTGTTAGTCTTGTCCCAGATGGTAAGGGTGCTGCTACTCACCAATGTCTAGGTAGCAATCGATTCGCCCGCCCATTTTGAAAGTATTTGTTTACTTGTCTTAAGATCAGAATACACAAAATGATATCTGAATAGATATTTGTAAGTACAAGTCTCAACAAAGATTGATTCGGATCTCGGTACCCCGTGTTATTGTACTGTCACCCCTGGTATTTAATGGTGGGTGTGGGGTTGCCGAGGCTATCAATCCACCCCCGGATTCTCCAACTCGACCCTTGGTTGCATTTATAATACGATTAACAACCCAAACATATACATTTTAAAATCTACAGAAAAGAATCAGTCACTATGGTATCCAAAAAGCCTGTCGCTCTAATTGTTGGCGCATCCAGGGGCATCGGTCGCCAAGTTGCCATCGACCTCGCCTCTAATGGTTATGCTGGTTCGTACAACTACAACTAATATCCCGTACTTACTTGTCTTGTATACCAACTAACACGGCAATTTAAGTCGTTGTCGCTGCAAAATCCATCAGTGACCCTTCAAATCTCCCATCGCCTTTTCCGCCAAATCCTAACTCATCTGCCTCGACAATCACAACCGTCGCACGTGAGATCACTTCAGCAGGAGGCGACGCCACGGCCATTCAAGTAGATGTTCGCTATCCCGAGAGTATCGACTCTCTGATATCACAAACCATCACTGTAAGTCAGTTCGTCCATTTTCAAATCAGTACTAATTGAATGACAACAGACCTATGGTCGTCTAGATGTCCTCGTGTACAACTCGGGTGCCATATTCTGGGCCCCCGTCTCATCGACACCCGTTAAACGATTTCAACTAATGCAGCGCGTTAATCCAGAAGGACTATACGCAACCATTCAAGCTGCTCTGCCTCATCTCCCTTCCACAGGCCGCATTGTAGTCGTCAGCCCACCCATCTACAGCCGTTTTTTCCGTGGCAAAACAGCTTATGCGGTGGGCAAGGTTGGCATGAGTGTTCTTACAAAAGGCCTTGCCATGGACTTTGAGCGCCAAGGAAAGAATGATATGGCCATTACTTCTATATGGCCCGCTGTGGTACGTATGGCAATATCCTTCAAATACAAAGTAGAGAGCTGACAGTAAACTAGGCTATTGAGTCTGCTGCTACAGACCAGTTCACGCGCAAGAACCCAGAAGAAGCGAACGATCTACGAAAGGCAACCATCTTCTCAGACGCTGTTCTCGCCATTCTTCAAGCTTCACCTGCTGTGGTCAATGGAGAACTACTCCTAGACGAAGATTTCTTACGTGAACATGCAGGTGTAAAAGATTTCTCAAAATACAACGTTGTGCCAGGCACTGCGCCACGGAGGATCATGCCCGCGTCTCTTCCAGACCTGACAGTGGTAGAGCAAGCAGACGAGGGCAAAAAGTACGACAGCACAAAAGCCAAATCCAAATTGTAAAGTTATGAGCAATCGCTATGGGTAGATATATGTAGGAAAATATGACCACTGTACAGGTAGCTAATAATGTAGGGATGTCAACCTTTGCGGCCATGCATGAATGATATCCTCTAAAAACAGACACGTCTAATACCACCTTGGCAGAGTCGCGTTCCCAAATAACTCCTAGACATGACTACAAACGTACGCCCAACTCTTTGAAACATCTTTTCCGTCCCTTCCCTGACATTTCTATGAAACGGCAATCCTCAATTTCGAATTCTCGAGTTGCCCCGCACTAGCTAGTAGTGACGAGTTTGGCTGGGTGGCTCAATTCCTTGAAACGCTTCAATCTCCTCCATCGTCCTGTTGAACACCGTCATGACTTGGTCCATGACTCTGCTGCGGTTCCACTCGCTTCTTGTGCGCCAAATTTCGTCCATAAGATCACGGTTGATCTGTTCGAGCTGCTCGATGGTGCAGCCACTCGTCGCCCCTGTTATGTTATTCAACATCCCTTCTACTTCCCCAAGTCCCAGGGGTTGAGAAGCCGAAGTTGATGAACCAGAGTTACGTGCAGACTGCTCGTCAGAAATATGGTCGTTCAGTATGCTTGCCACGCCGCCCACACTTTGGGCCTTGAAACCCAATGATGTTCGCGCCGAAGAGGGACTGTCGGAAATATTCGAGACCTGCATGTGGGCGCCACCTGCAGCGGCAGCCTGAGCCTGAGAGTGCAGCCACGAGTCATCTCCAGAAGTGTTGTGCCCAATAATCAGTGTGTCAGGGATATCAACCTGGCTGTCATCGTCAACGCCCCCCCGGCTCTCGCCGTGGCCTCCGTTGGTCATCTGACTGAAGTCTGATGAGCGGTGGGTTGAAGGGTCCGATGTTTTGGTCGTTGATGCCTCGTTGATGATGGCTGAGGGCGAAACTCCTGGTGGCAATGTTGTCACCACAGACCTTTGCGAGATTTGCGTCATTCCCGTATGCGCTACACTGAGTTGCTCGTGAGACTTGGGCGGAGGTCCCATTTCGGAGAGCGCCTGGGTATCGTTGTCGATGCCGCTCATCTGGGTGTCCTCCCCAATCATGTTGTTGATGCCGTTGCTCAGAAGTGGCAAGTCCTGGCCTGAAGTACCATAGTCGTTCGAAAACGGGCTTCTGACTTGGAACCTTGCGGTCGTTCTCGATCCTGGAACCACTACTCCGAGGGTAACAGGCCCCTGAGAATCGCTATCGTTACCACCCAGATCAGACTGGACACGGTCTACAAGTGATTGCATCGCTTTTCGCTTTCGCTCCTTCTCCATGGCGTCCTTGGCTCGTTGGAGTTGGCGTCGATATAACCCTTCCCAGTCAACTTGAGAAGTTTGGTTCTCGATACTAGCGACATCAACTTCGACGTTACTGAGAAGTTCATTGGCCTTAAGAGTTCGCTCTTTATCTCCAATATTTTTGGCATCCTTGGCAAGAGCCTTGATGTCAAATAGGAAGTCCTTCGGTCGAGCGTAGAAACCGTTCGACAAGCGCTCCTCAATAGTAGTAGTCTCGAGGTTATAATAACACTTGCCACTCGCGGTGTCTCGAAGGACATCATTGTCATACTTGTCCTTGACGATCTCGTATGGTCGGAGCTGGCCAACTTCTATATCCGGTCGTACAAAGTTGGGCTCTGACTCGACGAAGAGGTATTCTATCTGAGCAGGAGAAATTACAGGCTGTCGGAACTTCTTGTACTTTCTGTTGATCTGGTCCATAATAGGCTGAAGCTGGATTTTGAGGGCATTGAGCAGTTGATGATCCCGCTTCTGTGCAGCCTTCATATCCGCCTTGGTTGGGGGAGCAGGCTCGATAGGAGGGGCAACAGGAAGTTCCTCCAGAACCCTCTTCTTGCGGTTCTCGGGGTCGGGGAACTCGCGCGGCTTCTTCTTGGCATATTGAAGTGTGGTGTTGAAGTATTCCATGCGGCATTCCTACACGAGTTAGCACAGTACATAGCATCAATCGCGAAACCAACACTAACCTTGCTGGGGTTGTTGATCCTCATTTGGTTCTTCATGGAAAACCCGAAGAAGTCACGGATGAGCTCGCTGGGAAGTTCATCCCTATCGCCTTCTGCCGTAGCCAAAAGAAGTACTGGATCGGTAGGAGCAATGGATCGCAACATAGTCTTGAAGGTGGTGAGAGCGAGGGTGTTGTGCAGCGCAGCATACCAGGCCTCAATGTTGGGAATGTAAATTACACTAGGTTTGTGCCGCCTGACTTCTGTGAACAGACTGACGATAACTTGCTCCATGGCCTGGTATCTGTTAGTATATGGAGGATTTCAAGAAGGCAACGAACTTACCCTTCCGTCGTTCAAGATGCTGGGGAGGTCAAAGTTTTGGACATGAACTCCTTCAAAATAGTGAAGAATGGCAGATGAGAGGTAGCTCTGGCCCATTCCGCTCTGGCCGTATATGATAAATCTAGGGCGGAACACTCTAGATCGCTCAAACTCTTGTTGCATGGCCTCCCTACCAAAGCCGTGATCATCATCATCGAATTGCTCGTACATGGCTTCTTCGAGGGCTGTCAACTTCTTCTTGCGAGGCAAGAGGCCATCGAGAGCCGACTTGGCAGCTGCCAATTGATCACGAAGCAAAGGTTCTATTGACTTGGGGAGAGGCTTAGCGCCAGATGTTGCTGATCGTTCTGACGAGGGGATGAGTTTCTTGATAGACAACATAAAGTCAGTCGCGTGGACACCAATCTTCTCAGGATCAACGACAAGCTTCTCCTTGGAGGCGTAGATTTGGGGATACGTTCGTTGAATGGCGTTGAGGGCGGCCTCAGTGCAGAGAGCTCGCAGATCAGCACCGCCATAGCCTTTCGTATTCTCAGCCAACGAGTCCTTGAACTGGTTTGAGAGTCCCCAGTCTGCCGTATGGATATTGAGAATTGATTTTCGACCTTCAATATCAGGCAAAGGGAAGTAGAACTCGCGATCAAATCGACCGGGTCGACGAAGAGCAGGGTCAATATTGTCAGGGCGGTTGGTGGCACCAATAACGATAACCTGGCCACGGCCATCCATACCATCCATCAAAGCCAAGAGTGTCGAAACAATGGAGGCATGAATCTGCTCCTGCTTGCTAGATCGAACCGGGGCAAGACCATCAATCTCATCAAAAAAGATGATACTTGGTTGGGTTCTTCTCGCCTCTTCAAACAATAAACGAAGCTGTTTCTCGGCTTCACCGACCCACTTGCTCAGAGCGTCGGCACCTTTTCTCATATAGAATGAGATTTTTCGACCGCCAGAGCCAACCGAATTGGCTAAAGCGCGAGCAAGTAACGTTTTACCTGTTCCAGGTGGACCATGGAACAGAACACCGCGTGGTGGAGTAACATGGAATCGGGTGAAGAGCTCGGGGTATAGTAGGGGCAGCTGCACCATTTCCTTCAGCTGGTCGATATGTCCTTGCAGACCACCAACCTTGCTAAAGTCAACATTCAGGTCAACACCCAAGGGGTCAGCATCTGCGAGAGCCTTGCGATCCTTGATTTTGCCGACGTTGGGTGCCGCACCAGCCCCATCGAGGTTCATACCAGGCGCACCAGGAAGCAAACCACCAGGTGCAGCTGCAGACGTCGGAGTCATACCAACATTTCCAGCGACGCTAGAACGGTGCACCATTTCATCGTCGCTGCTGTCCGAATCAACACCGCCAGCTGCACCAGTGCCCCAGGGCCCATTAAGAAGGGCGCCGGCACCACCGCCTCCGCCGAAGGGCCCAAATGTGGTGTTGAGGCTGCGTTCCCAGCCTTGACTGGCACCGCCGCGTCCGCGTCGAGCACGTGGTTGTGCTGTGGGTGCCTCAGCTTCTTCTTCCTCAATGTTAGCCGAGGTGAGAGGCGGCATGTAGTAGTTGACGCGTGTTCTTGCTCGTCGAGTATTTTCTTGGTAGACGATGGGTGATTCCTTCCTTGGACGGCGACGACGAGAACGCGAGTCCTGCCTAAGTTCTCGAGCTTCTTCGTTCAATTCATCCAAATCAAAATCGGGTTCTTCATCTCCAGAATCTCCACCACGACGAGATCTGGCAGGTCGAGAACGTCGACCTCGAGGAACCGGGCTGTCAACGTCGTCTGGATCTTGACGACGGGGCTTCTCTGCGTCAGAAGCCTCTGCATCGTCGGATTCGTCGCCAGGCTCGAAATCACTGCTGACCTCTTGAGACTTCTTGCTAGATTTGCGGGTCAAGCGACGAGACTTCCTGGGGCCGGCGTCGGATTCGGCTTCTTGTGGTTGGGCGGAAGCATTGGCGCGACTTCCACGAGTCCTACGCGTAATAGGCACATCGTCGTCATCGTCATCCTCTTCTACCGTCTGGACAGGAGCGTCTTCTCCGGGTGCATCTTGATCAGCAGCGTCTTGCATGTCTTGATCAACGGCCTCTTGTTTCGTAATCTCTTCAGGGTCTTGAGTCAATTCGTCCGGCTGGTCAGCTTCTCTGACTTCCCTGAAGCTGCTCTCCTGCGTAACCTCTTGAATCGTCTCGGGGGCGTTCTTTAGGCCCTTGAGACCACGTGTGGTTCTTGTGCTCCGCGCAAATGTCTCGGGACTTCTACTCCTTGAGTCTCGTGACGGAACAGCATGTTTTCCAGAATTGGAGAGCTCATAGAATTCCTCAGCTTCTTCTGTGTGAGCCCGAGTTGCCCTACGGGGCGCAGGGGCATTGTTGCTGAGTTTCAACTTGACGACTCTAGATCTGGTTGGTCTGACGGGCTCCTCGATAGGCTCCTCGATAGGCTCCTCGACAGGCTCGCCCTCGGCGTCATCCTCCTTATTGTCTCCATCTTCGTCAGGCTTGACACCATCATTACCAGCATTGTCCGAATCATCGGTAGCTGATTCTTCTGCCTCGCGCTCGGGACTGCTTTCGAAGTAGGTGGTGTGTTGGGTAGCAGCCTTCCTGGCACGGCGACCAGCTGCGTTCACAGGTGCTCCCTCGTCATCCTCTTCTTCGTCATCCTCGTCGAAGAAGTCATCCTCGTTACTATCGGAGACTTCATCCTCGTCGTCGTCGATATCCGATCCACCATACCCGTTTTTACGTCGACGACCGGGTCTCCCACTACGAGAACGGCTGCTCTTCTTGTTGGTCTTTCGCGGTGGTCCAGCTTCTGTGGGGTCGAAGTTTTCGTCTTCGGGGTCTGATTTATTAGGGTCAAAGTCCTCGAGGACTCTCTTCCGCTTGCTGACCATGACTATATAATGGGTTCAGTGCAGATTGTGGCTATTTTGAGACGGGCGGTGGATGTAATTGAGTTTTTGCGGTTCTGGGAAGAAAAAGGGATGTCAGTAAGGGATACTTCCTTCGCGCGACGGAGGATCAGAGGCCATGGGCGCAAATGATGCGATGGGATCAATGAAATCACCATAACTTCGTCTGTTAATTTTTTGGTGCAAACTCACCTTTTACATGAACGTATTGTGCAAGATATCAAGTCAAGGCGTGCATGGGCGACGTGAAGACAAGGCACTTGAAGCTCTGGCTTACAGCGCGCTCAGGGTCGGCACAAAAGCGTCGGAAGGGATATTAACCTAAACAACCAAACAGTGCACTATTGAATAGTGCGTTTGGCTGATACAGGTGATGAAATGGACATGAACGAGGGCAAAAAAAACAAGAGAATGATGTTTGATGAAGTCGGTAGTTGCGCGTTTGTTCACTGTTTGAAGTCTTAAGGTCGCGCCAAACCCAACCAAAACAGAAGTGGGTCACAGTTGCCCTGAGCTGTGATTGGTCAGCTGCATGAAAACTCCATGAGATTAATCGAGATGTGAAGCCGTTTTAGTTTGGACATGAATACTGATTAAAACTGTGAATACTTGACATGACTTTTGATATGGATTTCTGAGTCTTTTTTTCATCATTTGGGTCGACTTTTGTCTCGAGATTCGTTTTTTCCACGTCTCAACGCGTCTCGAGCCTCTTTACGCATTCAATTCCTATTCCCATTTTCACGTATTCCGTTCAAGGAATTCGACTTACACGAGCTCTATCAAGGATCCTCATCGGAGCCAAAGCTCAATGTCAACTTCAAGCTCCATAGGGCTGATGGTTGACAACCGACAGCGTGTAGCTCCACAGTCGGTTAATCGACGGGGGATTATGCAGTTATTGATGGCAGTTTGTTGCCTTGGGATTCAGGCATTAATACTGGACAAGATCTACATGTACCCATCGTCGCAGAAGGCATCTTTCCGTTTACTGTCATTGGTGACTGCGTAAATTGTGCATTCTAACATCTGACATGGACATCACGAGCCATCTCGTAAAGGTGAGTTTTTGGCAATTTCTGCATGAAACAACGTGTTCACTTCCAAATCTAGAGGGCCTAGAGGGCCTAGAGGGCCTGGAAACATGGAAACTATCAACATCCAAAAAGCGGTAGGAAATAGCATGCTTCACCAAGACACCTAGGCGAGAATACGAATACCACCATGTTGGTCCCTCCATATTGGCCCGTTTTCACTACCAAATGGATGATTGTGAGATCAACAGACTCGACAAGCGACATCATTCGTTTCCACTTTGCTAACACATCAGCCGTCTAGCCGTGTGTGACCTACCCTATTCCTCCATTCAGCCAACCTACCCAAAATAAATTTAGCGATCTACATGCCTCTATTCCCGGACCCTATTTTACCATTTTTCGTCCTTTGTTGTATAATACGGATGACACGGCAAACCCACTTTGCCCCAAGCATTGGCATGATTATCACAAGCCTTGGCACCTGCGACATCGCCAAGACAGACGCGTAATGCGAAGATCGTTTCGAAACCGAGGCATCATCTAAAAGCAGAAGCAGGATCAGGGCAGGAACAAGCATCGTAGCACAGTATAAACCATAAACATAATCACCCAGGACAAATTTAGAAATGAAGTAATAAGAAAGTTGTTCTATGTATACTAATGCATTTGGATGTATCGGTTCGGATTCATGGGACTCGTTACGAATATTGCTACACAGAATGTAATCATACAAGTCGTCTCTCGTGGTACAGTCTTCCCACTGATCTCTCGTATCCCCCACTCTCCCCCCCCCCAAAAAAAGGGTATCTATTGCGTGTAGTTGGTCTCTTTCGAATGAATGGTTGAAATGTCTTCTTTTCTTTACCATACAAAAGACGCCACGCTTGCCAATGAGAGTGCCCGTCCCGTACCAGCCAGTGACGTTGAAGTTGTGGATGAATGAAGGTGATACAAGAATAATAAAAGTAAAGGGTCGTTTGGGTGGGTGCGGGTGATTAGGCGGTCTGCTGATAATCTGGTGATGATGTTACAGACTTTGTTTGTTGTTTATGCTCATTATGCTCATGCTGGAAATTAATCCTTGCCCAACATGGCTCGAGCGAGGTCAACCAGGGATGGTCCACCAAATAGGAACTGGCTTGAGTGCCTTCCACAGTAGGTGTGAACGTTGACGTTGGCGGGTTGTGGTGCGGGTTTGAACCAAGAGCGTGACGCCTTGGCTGTGGAAGAAGCCGAAGATTTTGTGGTGGAGGTAGAGAGTTCGCTTGCGTATGAGTTGGTACGTTGCTGGAAAGGTTTCTGTTAGTTGAACGGTCTAGACCAGATTTTGAGTTTTGGGATATGTAGCTGATGGAACTTACCTTGCTCTCCATAAGCGGGACTGGCTCACGGCTGCGACCACGCTGCTCCTCCTCAGAGGCTCTGTTGTTGCGAGATCCGAAAACCATTTTGAAGATTGGAGTTTGTAGAGTTGATTAAGAAGAGTATTTGTGGTTTGGGTATCGTTTGTATAATAGGCCTTCGAGGTAGTTTAAGTCAAGTTAAGTCGAGTCAAGGCACTCCTGGTGCAATCTAAAAGATGTCAAGGAATGTCTGTCTGTTGTGTGATGTGATGACTGTTGTGAATAATGAACGAGTATTCTGGTTGCTTGATTGACTGATGATGATGAGGAAATGAATGAATTTCAAGGGGGGAAGAGCTCCCTTAAATAAAAGTTCCTTTGTGATTAGAGCTGAAGTGAAGGGACCCCGACACTTGTTGGACTGGTCCCATTCTCATTCTCATTCATCCTAACCCCCGCTAACGTACCCCAAGCCAAGCCCAGGTCTGGGCCCCTAAGGAAACGCCAACCCTTGTTGCTACGTAGCAGAGCCCTATGAAAGGACGCTAAACCATGCGCGATGTCAGCCGGAAGCCTTGGCCCGTTCTTGGTATGACGAAGTGCAGATCCGACGAGCTTACGCGCGGGTCCCGACTAAAGGATACAATGCGACATGGTGGCTGTCCCTTTTTCAGTACTAATGTATGGAAGATATCTAGAAGCTATGTGATCGACTACAACCAGCCACTCATGAGTTGACTGGAAGTCAGTGATCTACCTACTGTGTACGGTACAGTGCAGGTAATCAAGATAACCTCCTTTAAAAGACAAATTGTTAATAACAAAAAGTCAGACATTAGTTGCTGCATATATATAGGCGACAGAGTACAATAATCAGACATAATCATAAAGCCTAAGACAGACAACGGTGAACAAATTTATCACCCTTATCTCCTCTCTTTTCTCTTTCCTCTTCACTTTCTCTCTCCATCAACCGCATACCAGTGACGCATACCGTACGGCACGGCAAATTCGGATCCGAGAAGGTGACGATGCGGGCCCCGGTTGGTCCCACAAAGACCGGAAGCTCCGAAGACCCATCCGTTCCGGTACCCTGACAGGCTTGCTTCACCTGTTATCTATCATCGCCAAGCAGTAAGCAAAGGTCACGAGGAACCTCACTTCTCCACTGCGACCCCATTTCTAGAAGGCCGCTAGAAGCAAACCCTTGCACGCAAGATTGTACATCTCCGAAAGTGATTCGTTGATCCGTACATCTGCAGACTGCGACTTGGGAGATAGATTAACAACAAGAATGGGGGGGGTCACACTCAAGCTGGGCGTTTCTCGTCTCAGCCTTACCCAATGCAACCTCGTTTTTGGCTTGGTCCTGTCATGGGAGTAAATCATAAGACACACAGGATGAACGATTGTTGGTCAATGGCGTTTTAGCCTCATGCAAGTATTTCTGTTGCCTGATGATGAGATAGTTCCGAAAATGAGCCTAAAATATTTGGTAGTGATCAGTCCATGATTGATTGACCTGCGTCAGATGCTTAATGTCGACTTCTGTTCAGTAGAGATCTACATCATTGGGTATTAATTCCTTGCTGTCATCAAAAGTGGCTTGCATCTAACCTCAGTTCTACCAAAGAAACTCACATTTGTTCCACTTCGTAAAAATATACGCAACTGTCACACTTAATTTCTCTCAAAATAACTATGCGAGACCTGTCCTTTCTAACCGAAAAATAGTGTTGGGAAACGTTGCATCGGTATCTTCCAGACTGACTAGAACGATCTAATGCAGCCACAACAGCCCAAATTCCTTATTTTTAGTGAGTCACTGTCATCGGGATGACGCTGTAGGCTTGAGCTGAAAAGCCACAGTAGCATGTTTGCGCCGGCATGTCCCAGCAATGAGGTTGCTTGTCTGTTCTTACAGAGACCGTTAAAGTTTGACTCAACGGCTGTACCGTCGTCAACCACAATTATCATGTCGCACTCGCTTCGTAACTATCAATACTAATAAAAATTGGCAAGCTTATCTTAGCATTCGCCAAGAAAACAAAAGATTTCTTGGCTGGGTACTGGTCTTGGCAACGCCGTGCCGAACATTGCTTGGCAATTATCTCGGTCCTAGGATATTTACGCTAACATCAAAACTCGAAGTTTCATTCGCTGCTGCGTATCAATTCACATCTGTAGAGTTACTAAACATATCATATCGGAATTATCTTGCTCTGTAACAGAAATTGTCCAAACCGCCAGCTAAATCCTCGGCCAAATAATACAAAGAGACACCGAATGACCTGAGGGCATCATCATCTCTCCAGTCTGAACAGTGGATGCCTCGGCTTTCGCTCTTTAACTGCACGAGTTGCGTGAAGTTGCGAATCTTTATGACGCATGGGGTACCTGTATGTTCTTTATCTCCTCTTGAGTGCTACTTGCACGTCTCACATTCCCTCTTGAAGATTTAGTATTTGCCAGTCTTGCAAGGTTTGCCCGAGTTGCCCATCCTATCTTACACATGTACATCTTTCTGGATTAATGCTGTTGAGATCATTGGCCTTTCCCTTCTACAAAGATTGATAGTGCATCGTTAGATATATACACGTTGGCTTGGATCAACAGATCTACAGGAAAGTGGTTGGTTGTAATGTGAGGTGATGACATACAAAGCATGGCGTGTACTATGCGCTACCATCTGGTTGGCATCAGCTTAGCAAATCCTTACCTGAATCTGTTACGCCAGAGCTGACGGGATAATAGCTCTCGTTAACCAGAAATTATTTATCATAAGTGAAAGAAACCCCTTTTCTTGTGATCGAATGCACCCAGTGTGTATATTCTGTATCTGGTCAGAAACTAGGAGCTCTTCTCACAAATTCCTCACGAGCAGAATAAGAGTCCGCGGTGATATCTGAAATACGAGATCTGACAGACCAAAAAACTCTCTACTCTTGCTTAACATAGGGGGAATCCAGGCATTCATTGTGTTTCCCATAATGCCAGGGGAGGATCCCCGTCAACCACCAATCGATAGCTCCTCGAGTTGATACACCATTCTTGTCCTATCTTTAGCCCCTATTCGTACTACAACCCTGCCTCGGTGTAACTTAAACATTTTCTTTCTAGTGTTTACTGTATTGAGTTTCCTTTGAGTAACCTGATCCAATCGTGCATCACTAGAATCAGAACTGAAACGGTAGAGTGGTGATCAAACGTATTGCTATGTTTAGTTTTCGGTATATGTTCCTTACCTTATTCTAAAAACTTGATGTATTATTTGCAAAGAACTTTAAATCTCTAAATTATCTCGATTCATGTGGTTGAAAAGTCTCAATTCGTTCATAGAAGCTGATCCATATCGCTTATAATACCTGAAACTCCAAACGCTAGGCTCCAAATCAACAGTACAAAACATATCACTTCTTAGAAACAGGGCGCTTTATGTAGGAGAGCCATCTGTTGTTAACGATACTTTAGAGGAACTATAAGAAGAGAAATTAAGAAATATATTTATTCCTGGACATGACAGTAGTCATACAGAGATACACACCCGAGTTGGCATCATTCGCTCAACTGACCAAACCTCAAGGTATCAGAAGAATTGGCCACTGGAAGTATAAGAGGCGAAACCAGCAGGACACTTGAGTTTATTTAGACCATACTTCTTAGACTGTTTATTTTGATACCCTGAGGTTTGGGAGGTCGACGTTTCTGCTAGCCAGTAGCCAAAACAACAATAGACGCGACAGATAAATGTTTTACTATATGTTCGAGAATTTGTCGCTAAATAATAATTACCGTACTTTCAATTACTTCCCGTAGCTTTCATTGACTCCCACTAATAAACACCTCCTCCGACCGATTCAATAATGTCGTCCTTTGGCTTAGGGTACGTTCTTTTGTCAACAGCCGCATAACCCTTGGAGAACTTATCCAAGAGACTGGCAATCCATCTCTGCTCTTCGCCAGTTGCAAACTCATACACAATACGCACAGCAAACCCGACTCGATACGGTCCCATGGCGCCTTGTGCTACAGATTCTATCGAGCGCAGTATCTGTTCCACAAAATATCGAGAGGATACACCTGCATTGGCTCGTGGTGTCCCGCATTCGATCAGTGTTTCTTCAAGAATAAGCATACTCGCCCAATATCCCATGAGCAACGACCCGGCCGCCGCCGATTGATGTTCCAATACCGTCTCGAACAACGAAGTCGCTGGATCAGTGGGCAAAGTCTCAACAGGATGTGGAAAGTCAAGAGCGTCAAACTCTTCGTACCATCGCACGAATCTTGCATGGCTTACCAGAGCCATCTGGGCCAAGGCGGAGACTTTGCCAGACTCAAAAGAGATGCCAGCCCTGTTGGCTTCGCGAACGAGATAGCCCCAGTGTATGACAGGCGAAAGCTGTGTCAGGTTCGCGAGAAAGCCATCACCAACGCGAATATGACTGATTGGGGTATCAGGATTGTAAATGAGGCGTCTTCCACCATCAAACATAACTCGATTCCATTCCGGCCGTGACAGGAATAACTCTTCCTCGCCGGGGTAGAAAAAGTCGCCTATTATCTGACAAGGGATCGTGTTAGTTGGAACCCCGCTATGGTAACATTGTCAGAGCCCGTTGAAGGGACGAAAGATCCACCTGGGTTGAGTTACCAGGATGGCGAATCCACTTGGGTTGGGTAGGTGATATGTGAGATGCCATATCGCGCCATCTCAATGCAGAGTAACCCTGCCGGTGACGAAACGAGAGATATGCTTGAGGCGTTGCTGTCACTGCATTGCTGATTGGTTATTCTTGAAAATAGTCTCTAATCTTTATGCCAAATCTCCTTGTCACTTGACAAAGAGGCAATGCGAGTTTCTAACCCTTCGCTGTGTTTCTATAGTTGAAGAGAACTAAGGGACGTACAAGAACGCCACGAAACGACAGTAACATGGCGGCATCCCAACCCTCTGCATGAGCGGCTGGCCCTCGCTGTTCCATCAAAGTACCAATGCCTTTGGCATGTTGGAGCCAGGTTTCGGAGCTGCTGGTTCCAGCAAATAGCTAAAACGAATAAGCTCCATAATCCAACAGAGTGCAGTGAGAGGATCACCTCGAAGTAGCATAGGAGTATAGCGGCGCACAAAGTCTCAGGTGTCTTCCATTCTGTGGAGTGTCGGAGAGCTGCTTGTAGTTCACTGAGTGCCAGGCCGTATATAGTCCGGCTTTGAGCGACTAGAGCCGTATTGGAGCTTGCTTTGCCAGCGAGATGCAAAGCAAAAGAGCAAACGGCGCCATCGAGGAGAGCTCGTTTTCCTAATCGATCAAGATTTAACCATGATAAGAGTGTAAATACATCAGTGGACTGAGAGTAGCTAGAGGATACCTCTACCATGTTAATCAGAAGTGGCCCTCTTGGCAGCCCCGGCTTCAGCAGGGTTGGTGAGGTCTTTACCAGAGACCACGTTGATGAATTGGTTGTATATGTGTTCTCGGTCTCATCAGACGCAGCTATACTAGACAAAGATCTAGCGGATGATGACTCGACGGTTCCTGATCTTCGACCGCGTTGGCGGATCAAGTGTTTTCCAGTATTATTATTGACGAACTTGATATCGCGATCATATCCTGGACACGCAGTGCCATACTTGGAGCAATTGCTGCAGGCGGGTCTGAGACCATCACATTTGACCTTCCTGGTTCTGCAAAGCTGGCAACCAGTACTCCGGGGTACCCCAACTGCCAGTTGTAGTCAGTCCGAGCCTAGTCAGTGTTTGCGTTGGATAGGTGCTAACCCATGGCCAATGTCGATGTCAATCAATGGAGTTGCTTGTCTTGCCCTTGTTCAAGTTCAAAGTGCTCACCGCCGGTTCTCAACCATCGGTGCCGCTATCGAGTCTGATGAGATCGGAGTGAACCCCCTCCCACACAGCGGCTCAGCTTCCCGAAGCGGCCGGCAAAGTTGCGAGAGATTGCGTGGGTAAATGATTGTAGTGTAGCGCAATAATACTGTAGATGCGGGAGAGGCACACGGAGGAAACGATTTGCACCGCCGGTTCGGCCCTTGTCAAGCTTCCCCGTTGCTTCGTGGTTCTTTGAATGACAGTCTTGGTTGTAGCAAGTCAGACTCAAGGCGCCTGCTGACTTTATGTACCTTTTTTCTTGACAGCGTACCTGCTTTCCCTTAACCAAGTTTACATACACCATCCTCTAGGCCTAGGAGGTATCTACCCAAAACAGGCAATTGGGAAACCTAAAGGGATATAGCAGGTCTAACCAACAAATTTGGCAGGAACGAATTTCTCGCATATGCATATGACAGGCACCTGTAATGTGATATCAATTTACCCATCAATTGCTAGAATCAAGATGTCCAAATATCTGGGGAAACCAGGATTTGCTCTCTTCCAAGACCACCCAAAGGTTCTGGGCAGGGCAGTTCGGATATTAATATGAGACCTACCTGAATTGAGCCGTATGCATATTACAGTCTACCCATGCCTAGTACCTGCTTCATATTGATTCATGTCTCCAGTCGTCATCTCCTCGGCAAAGACTAGATAGGACAACCACACCGAAATTGAACGATGTAAAGTCGGTACGGTACGCCTAATAAATACAGAGCTCTGTAAGTCTACGACATTCAACGGTAATTAGCCGCGGGAATTAACTATTCTTCAGAGACAACGCTAAAAAAAAATTGCTATCAAGACTCCGCGTTATATCCACCAAGGGGACAAGAGGAAATGAAATGTTGAAATGAAATGATTTATGGTCCCGCTGTAACCAATCTATCTGAATATAGGGGCATCAGAATCGACAGCATTCACGCCAATGTACGCCACTGTGTAGGAGGCGAGACGCTTCTAAACGCTCCCTGTAATATAATCAAGCCATGGATGAGAAATTGATCGATCTACATTGCCCAGCAAGCGTTTCGTCTTCCTTGGGAGGGCCGGGCGGTTCACAAATAAGCCTGTGCGAGCAAAGCTAAAGACACCGAACAATAAGGCCAGGAGTTTAATGGGTTTTAGATTGATACCAAGCTAATCCACTGATGAAATCGTTGACTGAAGCGGAACCTCTTCTATCTAGAAGGGTGAAGTGACTGTTGATCAACGCTTACGGCGGTGGTATTGCTTGAACTTGATGGGTAGCCGCGTCAACCACAAGTTACTAAATATATTGGACCCTTATCACCTAGACCTTCATCAGGCGATCTAGAAGAGGATGACTTGTGAGGCTCAAGGACAATTACAACCGAGGTTCAAAATTACGCCAATCTGGTTTACCACAGAGCCGAGATTCAAGCACATTTCTTCTATACCTTCTAGACCCAAACCCCGCGATTTTCTTCTGGTGTCAAGTGGTGATCACGATTCCATCCATGGCTCAAGGTCGGGATCAGCATAATTAAGCAATCTATAGATAGAGTATTGTCAAATCAATGTTAATATGCCTGATAGACCCCATGCTGAGCTTGTTTCGGTCATTGTCCACCTACCCCAGACCCGTACACTTGAGTCAGACAGTGATTGGTATGCAAGTGACGATGCTTTTGTCGGTGAGCACAACGGTTTATATGCGCTACCAGTTAGTGCTGCATTTATTGCCGAATTGAGACCGTCTTTCTTTTCTATAGGTTACTTGCGATGCTCGCGGCTCTAGTATTGATACAAAGTATTGTCTTAGATCCTGGTCACATGCCGTATAGAGCATTGTGCTGTACCTGCTTTGCTGTATGTAGATCCAAAACATGATAATCTTGACTAACATTAGAACCTTTGCATAGAAACTATTATTATTCCTCACGCTCAGACACTCAAGTTATTTAGGGTTCGCCGCGCATCCATAAAGCCAAACCCCACACAAAACAAGTTCTTCAGTGGAGGTTTTGCGATTGATGATGGAGAAACCGGCGGACCCAATTCTAAAAATACGCGGATTGCTCGCTATTGCTGCTTGGAAGACGTGGTCAGATAATCTACGTGTCAGTCATCTCGTCATGGAAAATTCCAGTACAACCCCTATCATGATTGTCATAATGGATCATCTTGAGAATAGGAGAGGCAGGAATTCATGCAAGGGTTAAAGGCTGTAGTGAAGTCGATGGATTTCCAAGGAAAGCATAGGAATGTCTCTCAGGGTAAGAGTCACTAAAGATGGTGCCGTGTAGAACATGTCTGTTAAATCCCCTCCTATCAAGATCTCTCGTTTACCTTTTTCCAACGTGCATAAGTCTAGGATCCACTGGGTCTCGCGTCTTGCATCGGCGACTGAACCGTTGAAGTACAGGAACTTACAGCAGCTTCCATCACTATCGGACGTTTGTTTGTGTGAGATCCACGCACTGCGGACACTGCATCGCAGCGAGCTACTGCAAGCCATGGACGCGATGCTTCTGCCGTCTCAAATCATCTGTAAGATATATCAGACAAGGTCTCAGGGCTATAGTTGCGCGGAAAAGAACCAGTGGTTCTGAGCTAGTGCGTCAAAAGCCAAGAAGTTGGTCCATCTCAGACGCAGGAGATAGTTGGGGCCAAGTTTGTTTAGTCGAGGCAGTACTGTACACACAATACTCGTAGCTTGTTATGATCTATCCATGGATACGAACCAGACCAACTGTGTGGTTTCCACCTTTGTACCCAGCAGGCCTCGACTAGGACCCGGTGCAGCCCTGTTTGTAACCGTCAAAAACGTACATATAATTATTTGTTCTCGGTCGCAAAATTTCTCACGGCGAGTCATTCTCTGAGGTCTTGTTGATATCGTCTTCAATAGCTTCCCTAGCTTCGAGCTGTTGGTCATGTCGAAATGAAGATTCAATCCATCGTGCCGCCAAGTCGGACCAGCTCAACCTAAGCCACTATCCAATTGTCCGGACTCTTGCTCAAAGAAACACCCCGAAAAAAAAAAGCCTTGACCTTTTCCAGACGAGACGCACACAAGCGCGAACTCCTAAAGCAGCTAAAGCGTTGACAATCAATCGTCCCTGTGGATGATCGGCACGAATATCTGGTGTGCTTATTGGCACGTCTGGTCAGATTTGTTAGTCAGCCAGGATTCCCCTGAATGATCCCTTGCTTTGAGGCTTTGAGTCCATGTATCAGACACGAACAGCAGGCAAGTATTTTGTGCAGGCGGACAATCATCACAGGACCCCTGGCAGCTTCCAGAGACCCCGAAATCGTTTGACCCCGTTTTGACTGGACAAGTTTGAGACGACAACAAACCCAGCTGCCCAGACACATCATACATATGAACTGACGAGCCAAATTAAGGGACTTGATCTTAAGCACCGTGATAGCCTCGTACAAAACAGCACCATTGTTTGAGTTCTCTCCGGTCCCGCCAGTCGGTAGCTGAGCAATGCAGAAAAAGGAAGCACAGATAAAAGCCATCCTCAGCACGGACAGGAAATTTGTTCCTGAGTTAATGCTGGAATATGCTTTCCTTGTGTCAAAAGACAGCACAGCAGAGTACAGCAGATGAAAGAAAGGCACTTGGACGGGTCACTCTACCTAGCCCGACCTGATCTGAGCAAACCAGACCAGACCAGACCAGGCCCCGGGATCCATCTCCATCATGCTTCCCTGTCCAACTAGCGCAGGATGGGTCAATGCCACAGCTAGAGCGGTGGCCAATAAACCAATGAGTCGCGTTTCTGGCATCAACAGACCTGCTCAAGTCTCCCTGAGGCCGTGGGATTTTGATTTGGGGAACCCTGGGACAGGCTCCACGCAGTACCTCGTGTTTGGCTCAAGTGCGGGTGAGGCAAGTGTGAATGTAAAATCGAGAATGCCAACAGACGAAGAGAGAATTGGCTTACGACGTCTTGCCCCTTGTCCCCTGCATGCTTATTATGTATGTGCATACATACAGCACTGTTTGGCCTTGTGCGTACTGTATGTACTATGCTTTATCTCCAGGACAATCGTCTCCACCAAGGCGATACGTTCTTTTTAAATGTCGCGTTGTTATTGTTGTGATGGAGCTGAAAGTTGACCATATGAGCGAGGAAGATGCTAGTAGGTGCTTTTTCTCTCAACAATCAACTCTCTGGTTTGGGGCTACTATCAGCAGCACAAATGACTGTCACGCGGTCCCACTCGACTGGGACCGTAAATAGGTATGTACTTGAAATGGATGGATGGATAGACGGATGGACGCCTGTCCGTGAAAAGCTGGACTGTCTTGTCTACCTGTTAAAAGAATGTAATCAGTGAATGTTTGTTCTACAGCGTTGTTAGGTTGGATTTAAATCGCTGTCAACGGGTGCCACTCCCGCAGAGCCCGCTATAAATGTCCCTGGGCCGATAAACTTAGCTGCATCTTTCAGTGGACTATTCAACTGTGCAAAAAGTGGATACCTACACGAGTTTGAGGAGATAGGTACCGGTACGGGCGCAGGTACTGGGCTAATGTAGCATTTGGTGAGGTGCTCGCAGGGTCTGTCCAATCCAATCCCAATCCTCGTTCCTCTGGGCTCGGGTCTGACTAGGAGTAAGAACAACGGTAACACCTCACCTCACTTCTTTTTTTCTACCCATCACCATCTCAACTTCATACTCGTTGTTTCTCCTTGTTCTGGTGTCGTTTTACTCTTTCTTTTCTTCTTCCCTCCTCATCATCGCCATCACCTTCGCCTGTTTGGCTTTCTCAGCCCCTCTTCTGAACGGCTCGACTTTGACACTCTAAATTGCCGTGCCCCCTTTCTTCGGCCGTCGCTTTCCCCGAAATCTCCCAGAAGCCTTCGAATACTTTCGACCTCCCACGCTTCTCCATCTCGTCTCTTGTGATCGTTTGGCCTCATCTAGACCTCGACACTTGTAACTTTGGCATTCGCACTTGCCTCGCATTTTGCCTTTGCTCCTTCCAGACCGCCGTGACGATCCTTCAACGACGGGAAATATTGCCTAGTCCCGCCGATAATAATCCTCTCTGCGAGCGAACTTCGTAAAACTTCGACTCTCGCCTTACTCGACAACCTCATTATCTTCGTTGCCCCGAACCGTCGACGATACTCTCATGTTCCGTTACAACTAGGTCGAGATTCAAGTTGTCAAAGACGACTCTTGATCTTGTCCCCCCAACCTACTACTAGCAAACATCCATCTCGTAGCAGAGTCTAGCCTGCTCGCGGTAAAAGTGAGCTACTTTCTCAGCACGATCAGTTTCTTTTGTTTCGGGTCGCTGGCGTCCTACATCATCGCCTACTCCTTTCGTTTGTTATAAAGATATCAACATAAAAAAAAGGTAGGTCGGTTACGCAAACTATCTTCTACTCCTCGGAAACCTTACCCTTGACCAGTACACGCTGAGCCGTTGATGATATGCTGGACTTGTGTATACACGACTTCCAAGGAAACATATGCTAATGATTGGTTGCGTAGCTGCTTTTCAGGTTGCAAACTGATTGCATTGATAATCGTTGTCATCTACTATTCCTCGCAACAAAGTCCGACAACAATTAACAGAAGCGACTCTCGTGAGGAAGCTTGTTGTTGACGGTCGCTCTAACGCCTGCGAGACGTCGACGCAAACTATGGCTGCACTGGTTCAAACCTACCCCCAGCAAACTGCAACGGTTACAATGCTCCAGACCAGACCGGCTTCTTCGACAGGCATGATACCCAACAACCAAGGCCAGAATGGCCACCAGTATGCGGGAACTTCCCAGACCCCAAGATATGCTGCCCCTTCTCCTACAGGCTATCGTGGTAGTTCGGCCCCTGTCCAGCAGTACGCCTTTACGAGCACACCTACTCTGAACCACGCACAAACGTGGCAGCCTCAGCAGACTCAACCCCCCCGGACTTATAATCCTAACGCCAACTATGGCGGGCGTCAGTTCAGCTCTTCAGGGACAAACATGCAGTATAATGGCATGGGTGTCGGGCAAACTGGCGCTCGTGATGATTCGGCCATTCCTCAGCGACGAAACGTTGTGCCCGCTCCTCGACCCCATTCCGCCTTCCTAGCTGGACCTACACAGCCAGTCTCTCCCACTTCACAAAGCAAAGCAGCACCAGACAGGTATAGACGCTCGCTCGCCCCCCAACAAAATCAACATGGTCGCTCTCAGAGCACTGCTGTCCCAGTGAATGTTGGGATGCCCACAGCCAACCAGCTTTATAACGGACCTAATCCTTCCCGCTCTGCCATTCCAAACCGCCCGAACAGTTTTTACAACGCCATGCCTGGGATGTCTGCGGAGGATATGCAGTTCGCCCATATGGAAGATCCTAATCGATCACGCCGACGTAGTGTCCGTGCCAACTCTGATGTTACCAGACCAACCGTCCAAGACAAGGGAAGAGCTGATGGAAACTCCCAAAGCCTACGTGTTGTCGCCAATGCTGCCGCACACTCACGCAACGGCAGTTCTGAGAGTGTCAACTCCAGTCGCAGCAGTCACTCTCGTCCATCCTCGGTAAGTTGATGATCCTTGAAACATTGCCCAATCAGCAATCGATGGTAAAACTGGTATGCTAACAGGGATGTCATGCAGTCTGCCAACCGTAATGTGTCTGCCCCCACTGGAAACCCCTCTTCCCAGGCAAGCAGCGAAACAACTTCTAAGCAGGATCACGCCAAGGTGAATGTCCCACCTCGAGGTTCATCTTCTGATGCCCTCAAGCGCACAACGAACCCCTCACCTCTCTCTCGGCCAGCCACTATGGCAAGCGAGGTCGCTGAAGATCGATCTTCTGGTGCGGGTAATATGGAATCACCAGCGGCTAAACAACTCGCCGCCATCAACAAAGGGCGCAAGTCGAAGAGCAAGACCTCCAGATTGCGTCGCGCTTTCTCTTTCGGCAGCGCTGCTGACTTCCGCAAGGCTGACGAGGAGGTTGAAGGATCTGACAAGACAGAACCGTCCAAGCTCCACAAGGACCCCACGACCGACGAAGCCTACGATGCCGAACAAGCCCGTATTGCGGAGGCGCAGGAGGCTGCAGGTCTTGGACACAGCATCTATGGTGGCAGATTCTTTGGTGGCTCAACCGATAATCTTTCGATCTCGTCGACGGCATCTTCAGCTTCCATCATGATTCGAAAGATGGGACGAGGCATGAAGAAGGGTGGTCGGTCATTTGTTGGAATCTTCCGACCTAAATCGGTGGTTGGAGTCGCCCCGGCCGATGGTCCCGTGAAACCCGAGGCTAGTCAAGCCGCTGTGTCAAGGGTTACCGTCGAAGCTGAGACGCAACGGGTCAACGTGTCGGCAGATCCCAGACAGACGGACACCTTCCCCCATTTGGAACGCAATTCGATTGATACCAGTTTGGGCATTGACATTGCTGAGCGTCTTGGAAGTTCCGGAACCGACAACTCCAACTCTCGCAGGAGTATTGTTGGCGGCGACAAAGAGCGTGCAGAAGTTCTTGCCGCTGTTCGGAAGGGTATCCTCAAGCGTATGTACAGTTATCCATTTGTGAATATCTCAAACTGACACCATTGTTAGGTCCTGGCTCAGCCAGCCCTTCTATTAGACCTGCAGACGCATCCCCCGGACTGGATCTTCCCAGCTTGCCTGCTGTCAATGATTCGCCCAATTCTAGCGCTCCTAGCACTCCCAACG